CGATGGCACAAACTCGCTTCTGTCAGTGTGCCCCAGGGCAGCTGTGGCTACAGTAGTAGTTTATCACCACCGTGCATGGAGTGAAAGAGTAATGACATGTAAAGCGTCTTTGAGTGTCCAAAAAAGCGCTATATAAAACCGTTTAAATGATGAAACATTTGAAATAAAATAACGACTAAACACATCAAAGGGAGAGAGTGTGTGTATACGTGTAGTGTGTATGTGTGTGTGTGTGTGTGTGTGTGTTGCATTGCTCATTATATCCTAGACCTAGTCACACCCATCCTCGTGTGGGCCTCTCCACCATCATCACTCTCGCCTCTCATCAAGAAGGTTCTGGGTTCGAATCCCGGTCGGAACAGGGCCTTTCTGAGTGGAGTTTGCATGTTCTCCGCGTGTCTGCGTAAGTTTCCTCTGGGTACTCCGGTTTCCCCTACCAATAAAAACAGATGTGTTTGTGAGAGTGAATGTGGGACAACGGATGAAAAATTAGCCCATGGCTACAATCCGGAGTGATGTGTTCATGAACATGTACTGTCCCAACCAAATAAACAATAAATATAAATATATATCATGTTTATTTCATTTCAAACGCATTCATTTTCTTCCCTTCATTATCTCTCCTCATGTTTGGCCACAACCACACACTTCTCATACAAACATTTGACATCAATATGGAAAAAGTGTTAAAGTCTTGATTTTTCAAAACTCCAAATAGACTATTTACCTGATGGATTCAACAGAGAGCAGCATGATTGACAGACACATTCTAAACAGAGTCTTTTGCAGCCTCTGTGTTGCTCACCTAAACGCCTCATAATGTGGTGACGAGCGTTTTGGCTGCGAGACGTGACAGCGGCGAAAATCCAAGGAGCGCCAGACATGCTCACACAAGGAACACAAAGCATCATGGGTAATCACAGGTTCAATACAGAGGCTGAAGCGTCTCTATGGGAGATCTGTTTATATTATGAAACCGAGAGGAGCCAGAGCCTTGTTCCTACTCTGATCTTAAAGGAGCAATATGTAAGATTTTCATGTCAAGTTATCATTAAAGGGCCCTAATCTGTCAAAAGGCATTAATAAATCATGCTCTTTTCCAATGATTTTTTAACTGATAACAGTTCAGCCGAGATATTTGGATTTTAATACTAGTTTTACAGCCCTTAAGTCTAAAATTTCCCCACTGTGGGACAAATAAAGGATCTCTTAATCTTGTTTTCTTCTGATGTCCCTTCCTCCATCATTTTACCAATCAGAAAGTCTGTGATCCGGGTTGCCAGCCCAGAACTCACTGCGTCGAGCTAATCTCACTGGTAAAGTAACACATGGCCACAGAACTAAAAAAGGCCTTGTTCTGATTCTCAGGAATGAAATGAGGATTTCTATCAGGAACTTTGTGAAAAAGGTGTTGGTTATATATTTGTTGTTGACAATGTTCCCAGCCGGATTTGTCTGCATATCTGGCAACCCAAGTCAGGGAGAGTGGGAGAGGTTGCAGTGACACTTTTGGCCAGATTTTTACATACTGCTCCTTTAATCTGGGAGAAGCAGGTGACGGCACAACCCACTTTTTTTTATTTATTTTTTTATTGCAAAACCATGAATTGAATAATGTAAAACAAAAAATCCATGTCTCTCCTCGCTGGCTCTAAAACAGTTGCTTCTGTCTTCTGTCACATATTTAGAACAGCTTTTTTAGACAGAAATATGAAAGAGGGAGGACCACCCAAGCTTCAAATAGTGACTCACAGGTCTCTCACAAGCCTTGACTGTACCCAGATGGACAATGAAGCCCAATAGGGAAGTGCTCATGGTGAAGTTTGGCTCATGTTTGTTTCACACTCACAATTTGGGGTTTAAATCTGTGCTTTCTCAGTGATCCTGCTGTTTATATTGCGATGTTGTCATAGCCATATAAGGACGGACCAATCAGATTCCTTCATTCAGGGGAAACTCCAGCTTGCCTTAGCAACTGTCTTAGCAACACGTTTGCCCCTGTTATAGCACAAAGCTAACACAGTGGAGCAAATGCCCATATAAGGCAACTGGCTCCATCTTATTCTCAAATCAGCTTTTTCCACATCAAGGCTAATGCTGTGATGTCACACTGTGGTGAAAAACTGATTTGATTGAAGTACACATTGAATCTCCTTTTTTCCACACGACAAATCTAAAGTCTCAGTACTATCAATTAAAAATGACTTGTTTATAAGAACAATGCTCTCCTCTGTCTTCACCATTAAACCAATGTTAAACCTACGATTGTTTTTCCCAGTGACAAACAGCATCTGGGGAGTCCTCAGCTCCGTCAGCTCTAATGTGGCTCTGTATTGAAGGTGACAGCTGCACTATAGTCACAATTATTGTTATTAATATATGGAATGATTTTGTCAAACGAGTTCATTAACAGCGGTTTGTTTGCGCTTTAATCAGAGGAGACAGAAGGCGGAATGAGGAATGTTCTGAGGGGCAAAAGTCCCAATCAGGACAAATGAATGAAGCAACAAAATGACAAATATTGTTTAGGTTAGAAAACAGTGGTTCTCTCCCTGCTTTACATATTTTCTGTGTGCAATTCTGCATGTTTTTCCGCCGTTTATCGCCAAAATTGTCAAAGAGTGAGTGTCTGGAGTTTGTCCGAAAAAAGAGAGAGGTTGAGGATTTGAAAAAAACGACCCAAGCTCCCTCCCCCTTCCTTTCTGATTGGTCTAAACCTACGTTTTCGTAAAAATCAATCAACACATTTAAATGTTAATCAGAGAACACATTATACATAAAACATTATTAATACACATGTACGGAGGTTTTCAGAATTATTTGTTAACATTTTCATGACAAAAATAATGTTTGAATGCTATTAAAACACAATACATAGTTCCCACATGACGTCACTACATACGGGGATTTGCCGACCCGGCGCCATTTGTGTTGGCATTCTGTGGGTAAAACAATAGAAAAAGAAGCTGAAACGTGTTAATGTCGTGATAAAGTTGAAAATGGTCATCTCCTGCTGGGTCAATGGATGTTCAAATCGTGCCGGAGGTTCCGTTAAACTTGGATTTTACAGTATACCCATCATTAGACTTCATGAATGTGAGAAGACTAAGCTTTTGTCAGAACAACGACGGAGGTTATGGCTTGCGAAGATAAACAGGCAAGAAACTCCCTCAAAACACGCAAGAATATGCTCGGAGCACTTTGTGTCAGGTGCGTATCGTATCTTATAATGTGTTGACAGACGTAATTTACTCAGTACTAACTTGTGTATGCTGATATCTGGTAACTTGAGAGTTTCATTATTTAGATTACTTTATTATGAGGAGGATCGGTGTCGCGTCCGAGGCTCTCGAGGGCAACGTAAATGTATTAAATAGATAATAATAGTTCTATGGTGGGCTAAAACAATGTTCACAAACAGCATTGCTTCTGTAAAAAGATCTGTGTCATAAAATAAACTGCTCTTTACGCCTGGAAAAATCAGTTGCCCACCATTCACCAAAACATACGGTCAAAAACGCGGAAATAAACAATAACAGCAATCCAGAGTGTCCGTGTGGCATTAGCATTAATTAAATTAATTGTTAATATAATTAAAATAATTAAATGGAGCTCCAACTGGTATTAAATCTAAAGTTTTTGAGAAATGTTTGCATTGCTGCATAATTTGATCAAATATGTAAAACATGTCCGTAGCACGTTAAACTGTGGTGCCATTGTATTAATATACAATTATTTGCTCAAAAGTTGCCCTTTTTTTCCAATTTGCGTTTGAATATCTACAATTATTCTCATTCTTCTGTTTAATGGAATGCACAAACACAGCAGCGTGCCATCAAAGATGGCGTCTCCGAGGAGGTCATGTGACATTCATTGGTCTGTGGGAACTATGTATTAGCTACAGTATTAACATGAATTGAACATTATAGGAACATCTGCAGAGGATCTGATTATGGATATAGGTTCAGTATATAAATGATTATGGATATAGGTTCAGTATATAAATGATTATGGATATAGGTTCAGTATATAAATGATTATGGATATAGGTTCAGTATATAAATGATTATGGATATAGGTTCAGTATATAAATGATTATGGATATAGCTTCAGTATATAAATGATTATGGATATAGGTTCAGTATATAAATGGGTAACTCAGCGCGGATGTTCAGAATTCTTGGTTCAGTTTTTATGAAGTTCCAGAGCCTAATAGAGGCTTAATTTCGGAGGCACAGTGAAAACAAACAACTGAGCATGAGCAGCTACGAGCATCAGCGCTGATGATTGACAGCCCTTGGCATTACTTGGTTGGTTAACGTGGACGACATCGTGGATTATGAGCTATAGCTAAGAGAAGGGAAGGCGGGACTTACCCGTAATATTAGAATTAATGACATTATTTATATTTATGGCCAATTTAATACAATTCTTCAAATTTGTAATTCATTTAAAGTTCCAGACTATCACTTTAAATGAGCATTGAAGCAACAGAAGTAAGATAAGATACAAATAGAACGGTTACCTGTGTGGGGTGCACCAGAACACAGGATTAGATGAAAACACCAGGGGCATCTATCAACCATGTGTACTGTGTTCCCCGCTGTATATTGACCACTTGTGTTTTTGCAAAAGAATCCACAGCTGTTTGTTGATAAAGTGTTTTAATAGCTCACATTATTACAATAGTCTCCATTTGTCCATCACTCTTTTTCTTGATTCAAATATTTCAAATGTTGAGACAGTTTGTCGTCAGTAGAAAAAGATTCACGCACAAGAAGTTTGTAAAAACATTCATAACAGAGTCAGACAGAGAGCATTTTGAGACGTTTGTCCATTGATCCGTCTGTGTGAATGTCAGGTCAGGTCTCTCTCAGGTCTGTCATAGAATCTGCAGACACACACACAGCAGCAGACACACAGCAGCAGACACACACACACATTCCCACACACACACACAGCAGACAGACACACACACACACACAGATGCCGCCGTGTGGTCAGTGCGTCCCCAGAGTTTCGAAGCCACAGAACTTCCATCGTTTCTCGAGGTTTGCTCCGACGCCGCTGAGCTCCTGCCTGAAGGTGGAGGGCAGCCTCAGCATCAGACGCTCCAGCTCCACCGCCGTCACCTGCAGCAACACAGGGGAATGTGTGTTGTTTAGACCCGTGTCAGAGTTTCACCAAGAGGAAGAGTTGTTTAGTATACTGTACTGTAATGTGATGTGAAGTATACAGTAGTACTGTGAAGTGCAGTATACTGTAATAATGCATCGGTTTTACTGTATATAGTGTTTTTTTGGACACTCAAAGACACTTTACATGTCATTATTCTTTCACTCCATACACAGTGGTGATAAACTACTACTGTAGCCACAGGAGCACACTGACAGAAGCGAGGCAACCAGTATGTGCCATTGGCCCCTCCGATCACCACCAACCATTCACACACACACCAGACTCATTCTAAGCAATGGGGTGAAGTGTGGACACAACGGCAGTTTGGCAATTTACAGCCGCCCCACTGTGGCACCTGGTGTTCCCAGAGGTTAAGTGTCTTGCCAAGGACACAACGACAGCAGACAGTGGGAGTCGATGGTGAGAGTCGTGCTCGAACCCACGACCCTCTGGCACAAAGGCCAATGCTCTACCAACTGAGCTACTGTGACCCTGTGATTAACAGTATACTGTAGTACTGTGATGTACAGTATACTGTAGTACTGTGATGTGCAGTATACTGTAGTACTGTGATGTACAGTATACTGTAGTACTGTGATACACAGTATAATGTAATACTGTGATGTACAGTATACTGTAGTACTGTGATACGCAGTATAATGTAGTACTGTGATGTGCAGTATACTGTAGTACTGTGATGTACAGTATACTGTAGTACTGTGATGTACAGTATACTGTAGTACTGTGATACGCAGTATAATGTAGTACTGTGATGTGCAGTATACTGTAGTACTGTGATGTACAGTATACTGTAGTACTGTGATGTACAGTATACTGTAGTACTGTGATGTACAGTATACTGTAGTACTGTGATGTGCAGTATACTGTAGTACTGTGATGTACAGTATACTGTAGTACTGTGATACACAGTATAATGTAGTACTGTGATGTACAGTATACTGTAGTACTGTGATACACAGTATACTGTAGTACTGTGATGTGCAGTATACTGTAGTACTGTGATGTACAGTATACTGTAGTACTGTGATGTACAGTATACTGTAGTACTGTGATGTACAGTATACTGTAGTACTGTGATGTACAGTATACTGTAGTACTGTGATGTACAGTATACTGTAGTACTGTGATGTACAGTATACTGTAGTACTGTGATGTGCAGTATACTGTAGTACTGTGATGTGCAGTATAATGTAGTACTGTGATGTACAGTATACTGTAGTACTGTGATGTGCAGTATACTGTAGTACTGTGATGTGCAGTATACTGTAGTACTGTGATGTGCAGTATACTGTAGTACTGTGATGTGCAGTATACTGTAGTACTGTGATGTGCAGTATACTGTAGTACTGTGATGTGCAGTATACTGTAGAACAAAAGCAGTGAAAATGACTGTAGTGTGTTGCCTCCAATCTGAAAGTGTGTTCACATGATGCAAGTGTGTATTATTTTGTCCTCAGAGTCTCCTTTTGACAATTTATGGTTTAGTTTTGAGAGCAGAGTTTGAGTTTTGATAAAGGAGTTTCATTTGGACCCAGATGTGAAAGGTTTATGTCCCAGTGTGTGTCAGGTTCTTGTGTGGAGAGATTTGGCAGAACTTGCACTGTTCTGTTGGATTTGGTTGGACAATATTTTGTTACTCAAGCGTCTGTATCGATTCATTACTCAATGGAATACATGTGAAATAAAATAATTCTCACTGTTCTCAAGTCAAATATTAAAATGCGATTAAATAATTACAAAGCCTCTAATTAGTCCTGGCCCTAGAATCAACATGACGGATCAACACCACCTCGACACGACTCCGAGAAGGGACTATTGCAGTCTTGCCATTGTTAGCTACTGTACTTTTAGAATGATCTATTTACTTGTTGTGTTTGTATGAATGCATGTGTTTCTGCTGCTACTGGACACCTGAATTTCTCCTATGGGGGATCAGTAAAGTATCAATCTATCTTTCTGGTGGAGTGGAGGTGGTATCTGCTTCAAACAAGACTCTCCTGCTGAATAAACAGTGAGTTGGAGCTCTGACCTTGGCGTCCAGCCGCTGGATGTATGACCAGAGATACTCCAGGTTGGCTCCAAACGGATGAACGTGAAGGAACGTGGACATCACCCCTGAGGAAGACAATAGACTTTAGAGCAACAAGAGGAACTAACATCAACATGTGAAAACACACGACTCATTTGGAGACCGTACATTGGTTTAAAAAGGCAGAAAAGAGTATAAGTAACACGTGGGACATTTTCACCTGTCTGTTATTACTGCATTTTTGTGTTTGAACCGTACAGTGTAAATAGTAACGGACGTAGTGACACCTCTTTCCTCCGTTAAATGTATGTGCCACAGATATTGGCAGATTCAAAATGGCTGCGGGCAGCCATTCCTGCAGGACAATAAAAAAATGCATTTGCGCATGCGTTAGCTGCACAAGCCCTATTCATTTTAAAAGTGCATTAAACAGTCCACAGTGGCTAAACTAGGCTGGTCCAAAAAAAACCTCCCTTCAGCATTGACAGCTTCTTGAACCAAGAGCCGACTTTTGGACCAACCTGTAAAGCTGTTTTTGAGCATACAAATGCAAATTGGGTTATTCTGTTTCCGGATACACCCCCACCAGCAAGGAGTCAGATTGCAAGCATGTCAGCGAACGTGCTCATGGACCTTTATGAGCCGGAACCTGCCCCCGTAGTGAGAACTGATTCTCTGATCTGTTGTTGAAGAACTGAAAACGTTGTCCACTGTGACGACTGAATTTAAACACAGATACATTGAATGTAATAGAGTTGACAGTAGCGGGGGATGTGGCGTGGATGAAGCTAAAAACAGCCTGAGGTCTGTGATGTGTTGTTTCTGCAGCAGTGATGTCGCAGGTCTTTCCTCCGCTGAGTTTTCCAGCTGCACTAAGAGAGATAAATGTGGGGAGCAGAGAAATGCTTTTGCAGCAATGGGATGGGGAGGGGGCCGGGGGGGGGGGGGGGGGGGGGGGGGGGGGGGAGGAACACGAGCTGCCGAGAAATGCATTCATCAGGATGAAGAAACCTGTTTTATTCCAAATCTGAACTTTACTAAAGGAAACAGAAAATCATAATGTCACTATGTGTCACTTTGTGTTTGTTGTCCTGCACCTGTGTGTGTGTGTGCGTGCGTTTCTGTGCATTTGTGTGTAGTGTGTGTGTGTTCTGTTTGTCATGTAGTATATGTCAGTATATGCTGTTTGAAAATAAAGGAAACAAAATTGAAACAAATTTTGTTGAGAACCTGGACAACAACTGGTGATTTTGATTTTTTTTAAATCAAATTCATGAATTTTCTTCAATTTCTTTTCCTAGGATCCTCTGCAGTATCCAAGGAGCGAGAAGTTCAGACCAGAACATTCTCTTGAACGCAGCAGGAAACCTATTCTGCTGGTACCAGACACATGGTCCAGCTGCTCTGCAGGTGAAGTCAGTGCCTCATCAACCTCACGACTGTCGCAGCAGTAGCATTCATAGTACCACTAAGTTTGCAGTAGTAGTAGTTTTGTAGTAGTAGTAGTAGTAGTAGTCGTAGTTTAGGAGTCCTCACCCAGCAGCAGAGCCTCCTTCTCAGTCGCGATGCCTCCTCTCTTGCCGTCTCCTCTGCGTTCTCGACTAGGACCCACACATGGAACACAGCTGCTCACCATCTGTGACAGACGCCAGGAGAGGGTTTCAGACCTCCCTCTGCACCTCCTCCCTCCTTCTTCTGCACCTCCTCCCTCTGCACTTGAATTACTGGCCTCAATGTATACATGTGCAGGAACAGCTCTCTCCTTTATCTGTCATTGTTATGACAACACCTGTAGTCTGTTCTTTGCTATTCACCCGTTTTCCCATTGCCTGTTTCATGGTGTGATGATGATAGGACTCACTGTTTCTGAGTGTGCTTCCTCTCTGATGCAGGAGTCTGAGGACAGTGGTCATCTGCTCCCTATGGACCAAAGGCTCTTGTGTGTTAGTTATTATTGTATTTCCTGTGTTCGAACTGTGATTCTCTGATCTGTTGTTGGTGAATCGACAACAGATGTGAGACTGCGGAAGTGAAGGACCACACATCAGCACCAGTGAGCTCAGGGTTACTCAGGTCTGGGGAGTTTACTTTCACATTAGGAGCCAAGAGGAGCCAAGCTGCAATCATGAGCACTTCCCTATGGGCTTCATTGAGCTGTTGGCAGATAGGACGAGGAGATCACACTGGTGTTGGAGCAGGACATTATGTACAGGAGGCTCTGGTGTCCCAACAAATACTACCCTATTCTCTAAACATGAGTGAGTGTAGACACAGGTGTGTAGACACAGGTGTGTAGACACACAGGTGTGTAGACACAGGTGTGTAGACAAACAGGTGTGTAGACACAGGTGTGTAGACACACAGGTGTGTAAACACACAGGTGTGTAGACACACAGGTGTGTAGACACAGGAGTGTAGAGACACAGGAGTGTAGAGACACAGGAGTGTAGAGACACAGGAGTGTAGAGACACAGGAGTGTAGACACTAGGGGTTGAACGACTTCATATTTTTAAAAGTCGACTTTATATGCATACTAGTTGAGTCGGCGTCGACTAGTCGATGACGTCATCGCAAATAAAGAGGACGTTTTAAACTTTGCATTTTATTTGGGAAAACTGCTAATTTTTACATTCAACTTCCAAAACAGCAATGTTTACAGAAAACATTTATCATTTAAACTTCCTATTTAACTTTAGGCTAAAATGTTTTTAGCTCAAACAGTCGTTAATGACTAGACTGGTTTTAAATCACTCGCTGTCTCGCTCTTCCTCCTCAGTCACCTTTTTTGTTTTGGACTTGGTATTTTCATGAAGAAAAATTAACTCATCTACGTGTGCAGGATGGAGACTGGCGCGCTGTCTTGTTATTGTGTTTCCAGCTAGAGAAAAAATTCTCTCGCTGGGGGCACTGGTTGCTGGTATGGCCAGATATGTCTTTGAGAGCCTTGCCAAGCGCGGGAAGCGCCTTTCGTTTCGGGCCCACCACTGCAACGGGTTGTCCAGAGTTGGGATTTGGGGCAAGAGAAAATATTGTCTGGCCTCTTCAGTTGCTGTGGAGCCGCGGGCCGTATTCTGCCCGCTTTCGAAATGCGTCCCAAACAGCTCCGCAAAGTCCAGCTCAAGACGCGCCTTCTTCCCTATGTCCTTCCCCGTCTGCTCAGTTTCACAGGTTTCCACACCGACATCTAACAAACACGTAGAACATTAGCGACACAATCCACACAATATTGTCCCCTTGTTAAATGTATAGTAATATACCATGCGTAAATGTCTCAGCGCTTACACCGCGCGCATTTTACGCACTTAATAGAAGCAAAAATTGAAGCAGATTTAATTATTTTTGTTGGACATAATGTGTTGTCTGTAATCTATGCGTTTTTTTTTCAGATATCAGTATTGTTGAATGAGCAATATATCTTTGCTTTTTAAATGAATAGAGACACACGCACCTGTTACGCTCAGCGTCTCACTCTCATCCAGAAGCAGGGTGTCCAGGTGGCTGTATGCGCTCTCTCTTTTGCTGTCTGGGATGAACTTCAGGTGCTTGAAGCGAGGATCTAACATGCAGGCCACAACTGGGATAGACGAGGGCAGATCATCAGAGTCCAGTTTGAATCGTGTTTCCAGCTGTTGTCGGACTGTGTTCTTAAATGCGCGCACCGCAGACAGATCAGAGCCCTCAACGCGCAGCGTGGTGTTGACCATGTTCAGGATCACGGGGTAAATAAAGGAAAGTCCTAAGTGCAGTTCACCGCACAATATCTCGGTGGCTTTGGCCAAAGGCTGCAGGACTGGAACAAGTTGTTCAAGAAGTTCCCACTGCGAAGCTCTCAATGCCAGTTTCTTTTGGACTGCTGGTTTTGTAACTGCGTCATCCGAAAGTACAGACTGCACTGCGATCCTTTGCTCAAAAAGCCGCTGGAGCATTGTAAAGGTAGAATTCCAGCGGACAGGACAATCAGTCTGGAGTTTATTTGTTTTCATGCCGAGTTGTTCCTGACGCGTTTTGAAAGAACACGTAGCAAGGGCGGAGTGGCGAAAGTGGCTGACAACTCTCCTCGCTGCATCGACCGCCTTTGCCACATCAGGTAAGACCAAACCGGACTTTATAGCTAACTGTAGAGTGTGTCCGCTGCATCCCAAATCTTTTAGACACATTTGGCAGAGCTCCAGTGCTAAATTCATGTTACTGGCATTGTCATGAACGGTGCAAAACGCGCTTATCCCCCAATTTTCAATAATTTCACTTAAGCGACCAGCAATGTTAATGGCAGTGTGTCTCTCAGTCATCAATGTTGTACACAAGACCCTGGCTTTTAGTTCCCATGTGTTGGTAATATAATGTGCTGTTACTGTAATATACGGCTCCATATTTGGTGAAGTCCATAGATCTGTCGTTAGAGACACGCTTTTTCCTCTCATCTCATTTGCCATTTCTTTGTGAACACCGTTGTACTCGTGTTTTATAGTATTCCATATTGTGCGGTAAGAGGGGATAACGTAATGCGGTTCAAAAAAGTTGACTAGTTCTCGGAAGCCTTCACCATGCACTGCGCTGAGTGGCCTGATGTCTTTAACAATGAAATTCACAAGCAGCTTGGTGATTTGTTGTCTTCGTTTGTCTGGCAGCACAGTCCGTTTAGTGAAGCTGCTGATTGACTGTTGTTGAGAAGGTTGCTTCTGGGCTAGCATTAGCGTCGGATGCTTTTTCAGATGAGAGTGCAGCGCGCTTGTACTTTTGTTGTACTTTAGAGTACCTTTGCATAAGCTACACGTCACCTGTGTACCGGTTTCATCTTTAATAAAATATGTCCAAACGCTTGATGTAGTGCTGCCTTGGCGTGATGATTGGTGAGAGGTACTAGGACCCTCGTTTGGCATGTCCCTGTCCTGCGCCGCCATGTTGTGCCAAAGTCACGTGCAGTACTGCGCCGCCGACTAGTCGATGTCACATGAACAAAGTCGCGAGACAACCGTAAAGTCGACTAGTCGACTAGTCGACTAGTCTGTTCAACCCCTAGTAGACACACAGGAGTGTAGACACACAGGAGTAAGTGTGAACACATGAGTGAGAGTAGAGTAGAGTGTACCTTGTCCAGAGGCTCAGAGCTGGTGCTTTCCACAGTCTCCACATTGATATTCAGCAGCTGGTCACAAACAAACAGAAGGAAAAGTTTATTTCTAACTCTGAGGTCTGAATTCACCTGGAGTCTCACTGAGTGTCACAGTCACAGAGGGATCTGGATGAAAACTGTTTTCATTCAGTCAGATTGCAGACAAAATGCAGACAGATTGCAGACAGAATGCAGAAAGAATGACTGCTTGGAGCTGAAGCAGAGTCCTCTGTTCTGGATCCAAAGGTCGGCTCTGTTTTAATGCAGCAGAGCCATTCAAGACCAGTGACCTATTTACTGCTTCAGCGAGTCCACAGAAATCACCCACACGCTCTCTCTGGTTCTGTCCTGCTTTAAAACTGCTTTTGTCCTGCTTTAGCCCTCATTTAGACCTGCTTTAGACTCTACAGACCATTAGAATGTATTAGAATGACTCTAATATCTTTATGAGCATTAATATAAATATGAAAACAGAAGCACACAGATGTAAAAAAAGTCATTTGGAGCTGATTGTAGGTTTGGAATCACAGATAATGAGGAGATTATTTCTTTATGAGGCTGCATGAGTCTCGAACTGAGTCCAGTACCTTCTCTGTGAGGCTGCGGACCTCTCTCTCCATGACCTTCTGCTCCTCTCGGGCCTGCTCCAGTTCATCCTCCCTGCTCCTCAGTTGCTCCTGGAGACTCAGTAACTGCTGTAAAACACAAACCGCAACATTTCGTTCAAACTGGATCCAATTGAACTGAACTCTGGAGAACTTGGTCTGCACAGGAGATCCAACAGGAACTCTTTACCTGCGGATTTATACCACGTTTACCCAGTGATGGGCAAGCTACTTGATTTGTGTAGTGAGCTAAGCTACAAGCTACTCTACAATAAATTCAGCTTCACTACACAGAAGCTACCACCCATACAAATATAGCAAGCTAAGTTACAAAATTCTGTCAAAAGTAGCTTGCTATATAGAAGCTATTTTCAATTAAACAAACTGCAGTTCATGCAATTTTATATTTTCCTGCATTAACATGTTTGCTCATTTCTTATTTTTTGCACAATTCTTGAGTGTTTTATCCATGCCAAATGTGACATGTAAATTTCTCCTGTGTGAGATTAATAAAGCTTATCTTCTTATTTGAGATAAACTGTCAGTCAGATAAAGGTTAAAATTTTGTAGATATTTATTGAACAATAGCCCAAAACACCAAAAACAACAAAGAGTAGGCATCTGAAAACATATTTATTTTCGCTCATCTCGACTAGAGTGACGTACTTTTGGAGGTATGGCCACGGTACAACACTTTGAGAGTCCTTATCATGGTCCTCCTCCACCGCGGCGGCTCCTGGGCTCTCTGCCATGCTTTTGCTTCCCCCAGTAGCGCGCGTGCATGTGTGTGCGTGTGTGTGTGCGCGTACGTTCGTGTGTGTGTGTCGTTACCAAGCCCTGCGCATGCGCATCAGCATTCTGTCTTTCTATATGTTTGTTTTATGCTGCGGGAAAATGCTGTAATATATGAACATCAGAGATGTCCGTGAGAAAATAGCTTTGGCGGACGCTACCGTGCTACTTGAGCAATAATATAGCTTAGCTACAGAAAAGTTACTAGGTTTTGTAAATAGTGACGCTACAGTCAAGCTACTGAAAAATGTAGGTAAATGTAGTCTCTCTCTGCCCATCACTGCGTTTACCAAGCTCATACACTGTGGAATCATCTCCCCATCCACGTCACGGATGGCCAGGCTTGAAACTGTACAGTATAATTTTGCATATGGCCCGGTAGGTGAGAAATACCACCTTAAACCCAATTGTCAGTGACGCAGCCCCATGCTGGAGAAGTATGGTAACAGCACTATCATCTACTTTATCTGCCATCGTTATGACTTCAGCTGTCATCTGTTTATTGCTATTCACCTGCTGTCCCATTCTCTGTTTCATGGCATGAGGATGGGACCTGGAGTCCTCCTTCTGCGGACTGTGGACTGTCTTCCCTGGCCTGAACTAGAGCCTTATTGTCATAGATAGAAAGATAAAAACAATTGCTGTGTATTAGTGCTATACACGTCTCTGGTTTATCGCAGGGTTACGTTCTGATAATAATAAAGTAAATCCTCTCGGTAGCAGCTGTAAAAGGAGAGACCAGAGAGAGACCAGATAGAGACTATAGAGAGAGAGACTAGAGAGAGACCAGAGAGAGACAAGAGAGAGTGACCAGAGAGAGACCAGAGAGAGACCAGATAGAGACTATAGAGAGAGAGACTAGAGAGAGACCAGAGAGAGACAAGAGAGAGTGACCAGAGAGAGACCAGAGAGAGACCAGATAGAGACTATAGAGAGAGAGAGACTAGAGAGAGACCAGAGAGAGACAAGAGAGAGTGACCAGAGAGAGACCAGATAGAGACTATAGAGAGAGAGAGACTAGAGAGAGACCAGAAAGAGACAAGAGAGAGTGACCAGAGAGAGACCAGATAGAGAGAGAGACCAGAGAGAGAGACCAGAGAGACAGATAGAGACTATAGAGAGAGAGACTGGAGAGAGACAAGAGAGAGTGACCAGAGAGAGACCAGATAGAGACTATAGAGAGAGAGACCCGAGAGAGACCAGCGAGAGAGAGACCAGAGAGAGACCATAGAGAGACAAGAGAGAGATAATGAGCAGAGAAGTTCAAAGGTAATGGCTAAAGAAGTATTTTTGGTTTATTGCATTAACTCGTGTATGAACTGAGAACACACAGAAGCTAATATGCTACATGTGCTACGTTGCTAAAAGTGGTCATTGAAGTCGCTGTCCAAATATAGCTCAGATAATTCTTTTTGCACAAACATTTGTCTGGGTTCTAAAGGGTTAAATAAGGGTGTTTGTGAGAGAGAGAGGAACACAGTGAGTGGAACTGTCGGAGGTCCGTCACTTCTGATAGAATGAGACGAGGCTGAACTCTGCAGCTGAGGACGTTTCCTTCTCTGTGATGGTGATTTGGAAAACAGCTCACAGTTTCAATTATGGACATCAGCGTTATCAAAGTTAAATCAGTGGACTTATCTCTCCACATGTAATACATTTATTTTGCTTTTTTTACAGTGTGCTTCTCTCCAACAACACCCTATAAACACCATGTAACTCTAGTATCACACGATAGTAACCTTTATTTAAAGTTAGGGAAAAAACGTTTGTGGTTTGTGTGCCGAGGACTACTGCCGTGTCTCTCTCTGGTCTCTCTCTGGTCTCTCTCTGGTCTCTCTATGGTCTTTCTCTCTCTGGTGTCTCTCTGGTCTCTGTCTCTGATTTTTCTCTGATCTTTCTCTGGTCTCTCGCTCTGAGATAAATAGAGAACAATAGATTCAAATGTAGAATTTACATACAGTAAAATAATGTAATGTCTGACTTATTATTGGAATAAAGACTTTGATCAGGTAAGAGCATCCAGAGCAGAGTCCCTTTGAGCCGAGGTCTTGTGCCACCCGGGTTATTGGCTTGTTCACACTCATCATTAGAACAGGACGGATGCCAACACTCTCATGGTTTCCACTGAGCAGTCCTCTCCAGGATTGACGCTCACACACCAGCAAAGCCTTTTCAGAAACACCCGCTGGATCCATCAGCTTTAAGGTTGCATTGCAGCCAGTGGCAAAGTCAACATTTCAAGTTAGACGGAAAAAGCCCACAGTATATTCTTGAAGTTATTGACACCAGTCAGAACGAGGAGAGCCAAAGGTTTTCTTGCATTTGGCTCAGACTTACCTGTTGCATTTGGTGCATGTTCTGCTGCAGCAGCTGGATCTGAGCCTCTGGGACCTGGTTCAGGCCCTGGTTCAGCCCTTGGTTCAGGCCTTGGTTCAGCCCTTGGTTCAGGCCTTGGTTCAGCCCCTGGTTCAGTCCCTGGTTCAGCCCTTGGTTCAGGCCCTGGCTCAGGCCCTGGTTCTCCCTCCTCAGTAGATCCACCTCGTTCCTGTAGGCGTCCAGCTGCCATCGCAGTGAGTCGTTCTCCTCACACAGAGAGGCCTGGCTCTGGACACCTGCTCACACACAGGACAGAGAAGATCCAGGACTCTCCACGTTTCAACCATATTTATGGACTTTATCAACATTCATGGACACTGGTCTCTGGTCTCTGCCCCTTATGGACCAATGGATCTATGTGTTTGCAGTTCCTGTGTTTGGACGGTTTGATTCTCTGATCTGTGTTTGTGAAGTCCTCAGAGATAACGGAACATAGAGGTTTGGCTTTAGATTAGTAAGATTTGAAGAAAAGCAGCATAAAGATGATCGTAACAGCAGAGTCCTGTGGGGGTTGGTGGTAGTTGGAGGCATAGGGGGAGGTTCTGAAGGGGGGTTTCTAGAGCAGGTCCTGGATGGGTGGGCTCTAGAGGAGGTTCTGGATGAGGGGTTCTGGAGGAGGTTCAAGAGAAATTTCTTAAGATGGGGTTCTAGTGGAGGTTCGGGATGGAGAAGGAGGTTCTAAGGGGGGTTCTAGAGGAGGTTCTGAAGGGGGGTTCTGGTGGAGGTTCTGGATGAGGGATTCTACAGGAGGTTTTGAAGGGGGGTTCTAGAGGAGAGGAGGTTCTGAAAGGGGTTCTAGAGGAGGTTCAAGAGGAAGTTCTTAAGATGGAGTTCTAGTGGAGGTTTGGGATGGGGAATTCTATAGGGGGGTCTGAAAGGGGGTTCTAAGGGGGGTTCTAGAGGAGGTTCTAAGGGGGTTCCAGAGGAGGTTCTAAGGGGGGTTCCAGAGGAGGTTCTGGGTGGGGGATTCTAAAGGGAGGTTCTGAAGGGGGGTTCTTTAGTAGGTTCTGAAGCGGGGGTTCTAGAGGAAGGTCTGAAGGGGGTTCTAGAGGAGGTTCTAGAAGAAGTGCGTAATTGTAGTGTGGATTGTAGAGGAGGTTCTGAACTGTCGAGGAGGTTCTATAGGAAGTTTTAGAAGAAGTTTTGAAGCAGGGATTGTAGAGGAGGTTCTGGTACCGTTTTGCTCGGTGCAGGAGCGTTTACACAGAGGGTCTTTGTCTTCATCGTCGGACATCTCCATCTCCTCCTCTCGTCTGACTCCCATCACCTCCTCACAGTGGGCGCTCCTCAGCTCCTGCAACACACGTCAGCTTCATGTCAGTGCCGCTGAGCATGGGAGGGTCTAAGGACAGAGAGGATCCAGAACACATTTATGGACCATGATGGACCGATGACTCCATGTGTTTGTTATCATTTCATTTCTGTGTGTGAGCTGTTTGATTCTCTGATCTGTGTTGGAGAATCGACAGCTTTGTAAAGTCCTCAGAGATGACTATTGTTGTGATTTAGAGTGATTGAAAAATACATTGAACTGAATGGAATACAGAAGCATTCCTTCACAGTCACAAATCTCTGCCATCTCTCCATCCCTCTCTCTCTCACCTCTCTCCCGCTCCTCTCTCTCTCCCTCCTCTATTTCTCCTCCTCTCCCCTCCTCCCCTCCCTCTCCTTCTGTGTGATCTCACATTTCTGACAGCGATCACAACACTCTCTATTCCCCTGTTTGTCGCTGGATACGATTCTCGTTAATAATTAAACTCGACCCTGGAAGTCATCGTTTCCATGGCAGCGGTTTCCAGGAAGTGCTGCGCGGATCACAGACTACTGTCACTGTGTGTGTGTGTATGTGTGTGTGTCTGTGTGTGTGAGTGTGTCACATTCGACTAATGCTGAGAAAATGATCCGAACCGGCCACACCACCTCAAAAGTGCTGTTAGACTTTAATATTTTTAGAAGGATCTATCTATTTGATTTGTTTTCATGAACGCATGTGTGTGTGTGTGTGTGTGTGTGTGTGCGCACGTGTATGTTTTTATGTTACAGTTGTATTCCTATTGCTTGAAAACTATAGACACATGCTTAACAAAAGCAATATGGGTTTTTCAAAAGTATCCTCGGGCAGGTTCTCACCTCACACTGTCTCCTCCAGACCTCCATGTTCTCACCTCTGTCTCCTCTAGACCTCCATGTTCTCACCTCTGTCTCCTCTAGACCTCCATGTTCTCACCTCTGTCTCCTCTAGACCTCCATGTCCTCACCTCTGTCTCCTCTAGACCTCCATGTCCTCACCTCTGTCTCCTCCAGACCTCCATGTCCTCACCTCTGTCTCCTCTAGACCTCCATGTCCTCACCTCTGTCTCCTCCAGACCTCCATGTCCTCACCTCTGTCTCCTCTAGACCTCCATGTTCTCACCTCTGTCTCCTCCAGACCTCCATGTTCTCACCTCTGTCTCCTCTAGACCTCCATGTTCTCACCTCTGTCTCCTCTAGACCTCCATGTTCCACCTCTGTCTCCTCTAGACCTCCATGTCCTCACCTCTGTCTCCTCTAGACCTCCATGTCCTCACCTCTGTCTCCTCCAGACCTCCATGTCCTCACCTCTGTCTCCTCCAGACCTCCATGTTCTCACCTCTGTCTCCTCTAGACCTCCATGTCCTCACCTCTGTCTCCTCCAGACCTCCATGTCCTCACCTCTGTCTCCTCCAGACCTCCATGTTCTCACCTCTGTCTCCTCTAGACCTCCATGTCCTCACCTCTGTCTCCTCTAGACCTCCATGTCCTCACCTCTGTCTCCTCTAGACCTCCATGTCCTCACCTCTGTCTCCTCCAGATCTCCATGTTCTCACCTCTGTCTCCTCCAGACCTCCATGTCCTCACCTCTGTCTCCTCTAGACCTCCATGTTCTCACACTGTTTCCTCCAGACCTCCATGTTCTCACCTCACACTGTTTCCTCCAGATCTCCATGTTCTTGCGCTGAGCTTTGGTGAAATGGTCCCAGGCCTTTTGTTTGGAGGCGGCGGAGAACACACCACAGATCTGCTCGACTGGGATCAGACGGAGAGGGACATTACTCACACAGTTCCGCTCAATATCACATTTGCAAACATCGTCTTTTAGGGCAGAGGAACTAAAACTCATATCCACAGGCATTTCCCTGCTCGACATGACCACTAACTGTGTTTATGGACAAGACGTCTCTGTACTTTACATTTACAGCTTCTCTGATTCTTTGGGTAAAAAACAGGGAAATGTGGGCATGAAGCTAATATGTACAGTATACCCAACCAAATGCATGAGTGAGAGTCTGACTGCAGCCTCAGGCCCTCAGACGTGTGTGTGTGTGTGTGTTCAGGAATTCTGACGTACGTACTGCAAATGGGGAAAAACGCAAGCCGATATTGGTAAGTGATGGGCTTTGATGAGTTTATGCGCGTGTTCTGCACTCCTCCACGAGTGCAGCTCCACATGAGTGTGTCTGAGATCCTCCAGAGACGTCAGAGAACAGCACTATCTGCTCACAAAACTCCCATGGATGTATTTTTATTAGAAACCAGTTCTTCTGTATTCAACACATTAGCAGCACTTGTTGGATACAGGAGAAACTCTGTGATCATAAACAAGTGCTGCTATATGTTCACAAGCACTGTGTCCCCCACTGTCAGCCCTGGTTTAGTCCTAGTTTAGTCCTGGTTTAGTCTTGGCTTAGTTCCCGTTTAGTCCTGGTTCACTCCTTGCTTAGTTCCAGTTTAAATCCTGGTTTAGTCCTGGTTTAGTCCTGGTCTAGTCCTGGGCTAGTCCTGGTCTAGTCCTGATTTTGTCCTGGGCTTGTCCTGGTCTGGTCCTGGTATAGTCCTGGTTTAGCTCATGTTTTGCCTGTTTTTGAGTGTCTTGTCTTTGTGACCAATTGGCTGCTCTCTGCTAAGTCTCATTGGTCTAGTTCACTCACTGGACCAAATGTGATAAACATGTCTCTCATTTCAAGTATTTTCGGTCTCTCTATGGTCTCTTCCCTCCCTGGTCTCTCTCTGGTCTCTCCCTGGTCTCTCTCTGGTCTCTCTCTGGTCTCTCCCTAGTCTCTCTCTGGTCTCTCTCTGGTCTCCATAAGGTCTCTCTCTGGTCTCTCCCTAGTCTCTCTCTGGTCTATCTCTGGTCTCTCTCTGGTCTCTCCCTGGTCTCTCTCTGGTCTCTCTCTGGTCTCTCTCTGGTCTCTCTCTGGTCTCTCTCTGGTCTCTCTCTGGTCTCCCTCTGGTCTCTCTCTGGTCTCTCTCGAGTCTCTCCCATCTCAGTCCCTGACCAGTTCTCGCACCGCTTAGCTTCAGAGACCATCACATACGGTGTTGTCCTGGTTTAGACTCTCTCTGACCTCCTCTCGCAGCTCAATACCGAGCAGCAGCCGGAGCCAGGGATCATGGGAAGGCGTTGTCATAGAGACGCACATCCCCAGCAACGAAACGACCGGAGGAGGAGGAGGAGGAGGAGGAAGTTTCAACCAGAGACTGTATATAGATGGACAATGCTAACCTGCTAGCTCAAAGAAGCCCTACAGTGAAATGCTAATGCTTCAACCTCGCTCAGTATTCTGTTCCAATTTTCAGTGTTGCAGGAATGAGGAGCACACAACACAAATGAACAATAACTCTAAAATAAAGTAAACATTACTCAGATCTATTCTAGTCTTTCTCCAGCTTTGTTTTTGATGTTGTAACACAATTAAAGCTCAGGGAAGAAGCTAAAGTGTTTGAATCAGCAGATGTTCCTGGATACATTTATCTGTTGTGTCGTCCTTGTGAGCCTGTGTGTGTCTGTTGTGTTGTCGTCCTTGTGAGCCTGTGTGTGTCTGTTGTGTTGTCGTCCTTGTGAGCCTGTGTGTGTCTGTTGTGTTGTCGTCCTGAGCCTGTGTGTGTCTATGTGTGTCTGTTGCGTCCTCCTGAGCCTGTGTGTGTCTGTTGTGTTGTCCTCCTGAGCCTGTGTGTGTCTGTTGCATCGTCCAGAGCCTGTGTGTCTGTTGTGTTGTCCTCCTGAGCCTGTGTGTGTCTGTTGTGTTGTCCTCCTGAGCCTGTGTGTGTCTGTTGCGTTGTTGTCCTGAGCCTGTGTGTGTCTGTTGTGTTGTCCTCCTGAGCCTGTGTGTGTCTGTTGTGTTGTCCTCCTGAGCCTGTGTGTGTCTGTTGCGTTGTCGTCCTGAGCCTGTGTGTGTGTGTTGTGTCCCCCTGAGCCTGTGTGTGTCTGTTGTGTCCTCCTGAGCCTGTGTGTGTCTGTTGCGTCATCCTGAGCCTGTGTGTGTCTGTTGTGTCCTCCTGAGCCTGTGTGTGTCTGTTGCGTCCTCCTGAGCCTGTGTGTGTCTGTTGTGTTGTCCTCCTGAGCCTGTGTGTGTCTGTTGCGTTGTTGTCCTGAGCCTGTGTGTGTCTGTTGTGTTGTCCTCCTGAGCCTGTGTGTGTCTGTTGTGTTGTCCTCCTGAGCCTGTGTGTGTCTGTTGCGTTGTTGTCCTGAGCCTGTGTGTGTCTGTTGTGTCCTCCTTAGCCTGTGTGTGTCTATTGCGTCCTCCTGAGCCTGTGTGTGTCTGTTGCGTCGTCCTTGTGTCTTTTGCGTTGTCCTCCAGAGCCTGTGTGTGTTGTCCTCCTGAGCCTCTGTTTGTCTGTTGTGTTGTCCTCCTGAGCCTGTGTGTGTCTCTAGCGTCGTGTTCATGAGCCTTTGTGCGTCTGTTGTGTCCTGCTGAGCCTGTCTGTGTCTGTTGTGTTGTCCTCCAGATCTTGTGTGTGTCAGTTATGTTGTCCTCCTGAGCCTGTGTGTGTCTGTTGCGTTATCCTCCTGAACCTGTATGTGTCTGTTGTGTTGTCGTCCTGAGCCTGTGTGTGTCTGTTGCGTTGTCCTCTGGAGCCTGTGTGTGTCTGTTGTGTTGTCGTCCTGAGCCTGTGTGTGTCTGTTGCGTTGTCCTCCTGAGCCTGTGTGTCTGTTGCGTCGTCCAGAGCCTGTGTGTATCTGTTGCGTTGTTGTCCTGAGCCTGTGTGTGTCTGTTGTGTCCTCCTGAGCCTGTGTGTGTCTGTTGCGTCGTCCAGAGCCTGTGTGTGTCTGTTGCTTTGTCGTCCTGAGCCTGTGTGTGTCTGTTGTGTTGTCGTCCAGAGCCTGTGTGTGTCTGTTGTGTCGTCCAGAGCCTGTGTGTGTCTGTTGCGTTGTCCTCCTGAGCCTGTGTGTGTCTGTTGCGTCGTCCAGAGCCTGTTGCGTCGTCCAGAGCCTGTGTGTGTCTGTTGCGTTGTCCTCCTGAGCCTGTTGCGTCGTCCAGAGCCTGTGTGTGTCTGTTGTGTCGTCCTCCTGAGCCTGTGTGTGTCTGTTGTGTCCTCCTTAGCCTGTGTGTGTCTGTTGCTTTGTCGTCCAGAGCCTGTGTGTGTCTGTTGCATCCTCCAGAGCCTGTGTGTATCTGTGTGTGTGTGTGTCTGTTGTGTGTCCGACAGTTGACAGTGATGACTGGTTGTTGATCCAGTGAGGAGTGGATTGGAGCAGATCTCTGACCAGATGCTCTGAACAAACACCGCACAGACGTGTGGCGACGAACGCACAAATTGAGTCATGCGTTTGTGAAACCGTGAGTTTTGACGGATCAAGAAACAAGAAATGGTCATGAGACGATTTACTTTTTTATGACTGTGACACATTATCTTCAGCCAAAATAAAACAGTCAAACAAGTACGAAGGGTGAAAAGTAGAGATGGTAGTGATTCGATAAAACTGACCATTTCTTCCTCCGACTCCCACTGATCTCGGCTGTCGTTGTGTCCTTGGGCAAAGACACTTAACCCCACTTTGCCTGAAGCCCCCGCTGAAAGATCAAGGCAGCCGTTCTCCTGTGGACTCACCCCCTGCAGGAGGATCAGTGAGGGGCTGGTGCTCTCTGACTGCCGCCCCCCAAACAAAAAATGGACTAAGGGGAAGAATATGTATGAACGGCTGGCCTATTTCACCACAAAAACATAAACGGTAGATAAAATAAAAAATAAAATGATGAGACAATTCCTTGTTTGTTTGAAGAAGATAAAAATGTATCCCATGCCATTAAAGTCGCCAAAATCACAATGTGAAGAAATATTCATGCATAATTTACACTGTAGCTAGAAAAACGCTTATCCACTGAAGTACACACCGAGAAAGCACAATGTAACGCTATGAACCAATGCCGGGAACGTATTGAGCTCTTCTCACGCTTCGACACACAGAAGCAGTCGACACACAGAAGCAGTTGACACACAGAAGCAGTCGACACACAGAAGCAGTTGACACACAGAAGCAGTCGACACACAGAAGCAGTCGACACACAGAAGCAGTCGACACACAGAAGCAGTCGACACACAGAAGCAGTCGACACACAGAAGCAGTCGACACACAGAAGCAGTCGACACACAGAAGCAGTCGACTGAGAGTAGATGATGGAGATGATCAGTTGCCGAAATCGGTCGATGTGAGCGCTCTTACAACTGGAGATAAACAGTCGATCTCCGGATTCAGCAAATTGCCCGTGTTCTACTTTTCGGCAACTAGTTGTACTCAGATCCTAAGATATCACCCGATATCATCCACTAGGCTTACACTGGGTGAGGATGTAGCCTTAGAGCTTACACTGGGTGTGGATGTAGCCTTAGAGCTTACACTGGGTGAGAATGTAGCCTTAGAGCTTACACTGGGTGAGAATGTAGCCTTAGAGCTTACACTGGGTGAGGATGTAGCCTTAGAGCTTACACTGGGTGAGGATGTAGCCTTAGAGCTTACACTGGGTGAGAATGTAGCCTTAGAGCTTACACTGGGTGAGAATGTAGCCTTAGAGCTTACACTGGGTGTGGATGTAGCCTTAGAGCTTACACTGGGTGAGGATGTAGCCTTAGAGCTTACACTGGGTGTGGATGTAGCCTTAGAGCTTACACTGGGTGAGAGAGTAGCCTTAGAGCTTACACTGGGTGAGGATGTAGCCTTAGAGCTTACACTGGGTGAGGATGTAGCCTTAGAGCTTACACTGGGTGAGAATGTAGCCTTAGAGCTTACACTGGGTGAGGATGTAGCCTTAGAGCTTACACTGGGTGTGGATGTAGCCTTAGAGCTTACACTGGGTGAGAATGTAGCCTTAGAGCTTACACTGGGTGAGAATGTAGCCTTAGAGCTTACACTGGGTGAGGATGTAGCCTTAGAGCTTACACTGGGTGTGGATGTAGCCTTAGAGCTTACACTGGGTGAGAATGTAGCCTTAGAGCTGACACTGGGTGAGAATGTAGCCTTAGAGCTTACACTGGGTGAGAATGTAGCCTTAGAGCTTACACTGGGTGAGAATGTAGCCTTAGAGCTTACACTGGGTGAGAATGTAGCCTTAGAGCTTACACTGGGTGAGGATGTAGCCTTAGAGCTTACACTGGGTGAGGATGTAGCCTTAGAGCTTACACTGGGTGAGAATGTAGCCTTAGAGCTTACACTGGGTGAGAATGTAGCCTTAGAGCTTACACTGGGTGAGGATGTAGCCTTAGAGCTTACACTGGGTGAGGATGTAGCCTTAGAGCTGACACTGGGTGAGGATGTAGCCTTAGGCTTACACTGGGTGAGGATGTAGCCTTAGAGCTTACACTGGGTGAGGATGTAGCCTTAGAACTGACACTGGGTGAGGATGTAGCCTTAGAGCTTACTACATGGGTGAGGACGTAGCCTTAGAGCTGACACTGGGTGAGGAGTAGCCTTAGAGCTGACACTGGGTGAGGATGTAGCCTTAGAGCTGACACTGGGTGAGGATGTAGTGAGTAGCTTAGCTAGACTGTGAGGTGCAGAGCTGGGTGAGGATGTAGCCTTAGAGCTTACACTGGGTGAGGATGTAGCCTTAGAGCTTACACTGGGTGAGGATGTAGCCTTAGAGCTTACACTGGGTGAGGATGTAGCCTTAGAGCTGACACTGGGTGAGGATGTAGCCTTAGAGCTTACACTGGGTGAGGATGTAGCCTTAGAGCTGACACTGGGTGAGGATGTAGCCTTAGAGCTGACACTGGGTGAGGATGTAGCCTTAGAGCTGACACTGGGTGAGGATGTAGCCTAAGAGCTGACACTGGGTGAGGATGTAGCCTTAGAGCTTACACTGGGTGAGGATGTAGCCTTAGAGCTGACACTGGGTGAGGATGTAGCCTTAGAGCTTACACCGGGTGAGGATGTAGCCTTAGAGCTGACACTGGGTGAGGATGTAGCCTTAGAGCTGACACTGGGTGAGGATGTAGCCTTAGAGCTTACACTGGGTGAGGATGTAGCCTTAGAGCTTACACTGGGTGAGGATGTAGCCTTAGAGCTGACACTGGGTGAGGATGTAGCCTTAGAGCTTACACTGGGTGAGGACGTAGGCCTTAGAGCTGACACTGGGTGAGGATGTAGCCTTAGAGCTTACACTGGGTGAGGATGTAGCCTTAGAGCTTACACTGGGTGAGGATGTAGCCTTAGAGCTGACACTGGGTGAGGACGTAGCCTTAGAGCTTACACTGGGTGAGGACGTAGCCTTAGAGCTGACACTGGGTGAGAATGTAGCCTTAGAGCTTACACTGGGTGAGAATGTAGCCTTAGAGCTTACACTGGGTGAGAATGTAGCCTTAGAGCTTACACTGGGTGAGAATGTAGCCTTAGAGCTTACACTGGGTGAGGATGTAGCCTTAGAGCTTACACTGGGTGAGGATGTAGCCTTAGAGCTTACACTGGGTGAGAATGTAGCCTTAGAGCTTACACTGGGTGAGAATGTAGCCTTAGAGCTTACACTGGGTGAGAATGTAGCCTTAGAGCTTACACTGGGTGAGGATGTAGCCTTAGAGCTGACACAGGGTGAGGATGTAGCCTTAGAGCTTACACTGGGTGAGGATGTAGCCTTAGAGCTTACACTGGGTGAGGATGTAGCCTTAGAGCTGACACTGGGTGAGGATGTAGCCTTAGAGCTTACACTGGGTGAGGATGTAGCCTTAGAGCTTACACTGGGTGAGGATGTAGCCTTAGAGCTTACACTGGGTGAGGATGTAGCCTTAGAGCTGACACTGGGTGAGGATGTAGCCTTAGAGCTTACACTGGGTGAGGACGTAGCCTTAGAGCTGACACTGGGTGAGGATGTAGCCTTAGAGCTGACACTGGGTGAGGATGTAGCCTTAGAGCTGACACTGGGTGAGGATGTAGCCTTAGAGCTTACACTGGGTGAGGATGTAGCCTTAGAGCTTACACTGGGTGAGGATGTAGCCTTAGAGCTTACACTGGGTGAGGATGTAGCCTTAGAGCTTACACTGGGTGAGGATGTAGCCTTAGAGCTTACACTGGGTGAGGATGTAGCCTTAGAGCTGACACTGGGTGAGGATGTAGCCTTAGAGCTGACACTGGGTGAGGATGTAGCCTTAGAGCTTACACTGGGTGAGGATGTAGCCTTAGAGCTGACACTGGGTGAGGATGTAGCCTTAGAGCTTACACTGGGTGAGGATGTAGCCTTAGAGCTGACACTGGGTGAGGATGTAGCCTTAGAGCTTACACTGGGTGAAGATGTAGCCTTAGAGCTGACACTGGGTGAGGATGTAGCCTTAGAGCTGACACTGGGTGAGGATGTAGCCTTAGAGCTGACACTGGGTGGAGGATGTAGCCTAAGAGCTTACACTGGGTGAGAATGTAGCCTTAGAGCTTACACTGGGTGAGGATGTAGCCTTAGAGCTTACACTGGGTGAGGATGTAGCCTTAGAGCTTACACTGGGTGAGGATGTAGCCTTAGAGCTTACACTGGGTGAGAATGTAGCCTTAGAGCTTACACTGGGTGAGAATGTAGCCTTAGAGCTTACACTGGGTGAGAATGTAGCCTTAGAGCTTACACTGGGTGAGGATGTAGCCTTAGAGCTGACACAGGGTGAGGATGTAGCCTTAGAGCTTACACTGGGTGAGGATGTAGCCTTAGAGCTTACACTGGGTGAGGATGTAGCCTTAGAGCTGACACTGGGTGAGGATGTAGCCTTAGAGCTTACACTGGGTGAGGATGTAGCCTTAGAGCTTACACTGGGTGAGGATGTAGCCTTAGAGCTTACACTGGGTGAGGATGTAGCCTTAGAGCTGACACTGGGTGAGGATGTAGCCTTAGAGCTGACACTGGGTGAGGATGTAGCCTTAGAGCTGACACTGGGTGAGGATGTAGCCTTAGAGCTTACACTGGGTGAGGATGTAGCCTTAGAGCTGATACTGGGTGAGGATGTAGCCTTAGAGCTTACACTGGGTGAGGATGTAGCCTTAGAGCTTACACTGGGTGAGGATGTAGCCTTAGAGCTTACACTGGGTGAGGATGTAGCCTTAGAGCTTACACTGGGTGAGGATGTAGCCTTAGAGCTGACACTGGGTGAGGATGTAGCCTTAGAGCTGACACTGGGTGAGGATGTAGCCTTAGAGCTGACACTGGGTGAGGATGTAGCCTTAGAGCTTACACTGGGTGAGGATGTAGCCTTAGAGCTGACACTGGGTGAGGATGTAGCCTTAGAGCTTACACTGGGTGAAGATGTAGCCTTAGAGCTGACACTGGGTGAGGATGTAGCCTTAGAGCTGACACTGGGTGAGGATGTAGCCTTAGAGCTGACACTGGGTGAGGATGTAGCCTAAGAGCTGACACTGGGTGAGGATGTAGCCTCAGAGCTTACACTGGGTGAGGATGTAGCCTTAGAGCTGACACTGGGTGAGGATGTAGCCTTAGAGCTTACACTGGGTGAGGATGTAGCCTTAGAGCTGACACTGGGTGAGGATGTAGCCTTAGAGCTGACACTGGGTGAGGATGTAGCCTTAGAGCTTACACTGGGTGAGGATGTAGCCTTAGAGCTTACACTGGGTGAGGATGTAGCCTTAGAGCTGACACTGGGTGAGGATGTAGCCTTAGAGCTTACACTGGGTGAGGACGTAGCCTTAGAGCTGACACTGGGTGAGGATGTAGCCTTAGAGCTTACACTGGGTGAGGATGTAGCCTTAGAGCTTACACTGGGTGAGGATGTAGCCTTAGAGCTGACACTGGGTGAGGATGTAGCCTTAGAGCTTACACTGGGTGAGGATGTAGCCTTAGAGCTTACACTGGGTGAGGATGTAGCCTTAGAGCTGACACTGGGTGAGGACGTAGCCTTAGAGCTTACACTGGGTGAGGACGTAGCCTTAGAGCTTACACTGGGTGAGGATGTAGCCTTAGAGCTTACACTGGGTGAGGATGTAGCCTTAGAGCTGACACTGGGTGAGGATGTAGCCTTAGAGCTGACACTGGGTGAGGATGTAGCCTTAGAGCTGACACTGGGTGAGGATGTAGCCTTAGAGCTTACACTGGGTGAGGATGTAGCCTTAGAGCTTACACTGGGTGAGGATGTAGCCTTAGAGCTTACACTGGGTGAGGATGTAGCCTTAGAGCTTACACTGGGTGAGGATGTAGCCTTAGAGCTTACACTGGGTGAGGATGTAGCCTTAGAGCTTACACTGGGTGAGGATGTAGCCTTAGAGCTGACACTGGGTGAAGATGTAGCCTTAGAGCTTACACTGGGTGAGGATGTAGCCTTAGAGCTTACACTGGGTGAGGATGTAGCCTTAGAGCTGACACTGGGTGAGGATGTAGCCTTAGAGCTGACACTGGGTGAGGATGTAGCCTTAGAGCTGACACTGGGTGAGGATGTAGCCTTAGAGCTTACACTGGGTGAGGATGTAGCCTTAGAGCTGACACTGGGTGAGGATGTAGCCTTAGAGCTGACACTGGGTGAGGATGTAGCCTTAGAGCTTAAACTGGGTGAGGATGTAGCCTTAGAGCTGACACTGGGGGAGGATGTAGCCTTAGAGCTGACACTGGGTGAAGATATAGCCTTAGAGCTTACACTGGGTGAGGATGTAGCCTTAGAGCTGACACTGGGTGAGGATGTAGCCTTAGAGCTGACACTGGGTGAGGATGTAGCCATAGAGCTTACATCGGGTGAGGATGTAGCCTTAGAGCTTACACTGGGTGAGGATGTAGCATAAGAGCTTACACTAGTTGAGGATGTAGCCTTAGAGCTTACACTGGGTGAGGATGTAGCCTTAGAGCTTACACTGGGTGAGGATGTAGCCTTAAAGCTGACACTGGGTGAGGATGTAGCCTTAGAGCTTACACTGGGTGAGGATGTAGCCTTAGAGCTTACACTGGGTGAGGATGTAGCCTTAGAGCTTACACTGGGTGAGGATGTAGCCTTAGAGCTTACACTGGGTGAGGATGTAGCCTTAAAGCTGACACTGGGTGAGGATGTAGCCTTAAAGCTGACACTGGGTGAGGATGTAGCTTTAGAGCTTACACTGGGTGAGGATGTAGCCTTAGAGCTGACACTGGGTGAGGTTGTAGCCTTAGAGCTTACACTGGGTGAGGATGTAGCCTTAGAGCTTACACTGGGTGAGGATGTAGCCTTAGAGCATACACTGGGTGAGGATGTAGCCTTAGAGCTTACACTAGTTGAGGATGTAGCCTTAGAGCTTACACTGGGTGAGGATGTAGCCTTAGAGATTACACTGGGTGAGGATGTAGCCTTAGAGCTTACACTGGGTGAGGATGTAGCCTTAGAGCTTACACTAGTTGAGGATGTAGCCTTAGAGCTTACACTGGGTGAGGATGTAGCCTTAGAGCTTACACTGGGTGAGGATGTAGCCTTAGAGATTACACTGGGTGAGGATGTAGCCTTAGAGCTTACACTGGGTGAGGATGTAGCCTTAGAGCTTACAATGTGTGAGGATGTAGCCTTAGAGCTTACACTGGGTGAGGATGTAGCCTTAGAGCTTATGTGGGAAAGTGAACTTTTAACAAGGACTTTTAACTGCTTTTATTTGTGTGATGTGTTTTGTGTGTTTTTATATTTTTAATGCATGGATTTTAATCACAGTTCCTTGGACACTTCCCCTAATCACCCACACCTGCTTCTAATCAAGACTTTCTTAAATTGGGGGCGGGCACTACAGAGAGGAGGACAGAGCACGAGGGAGAGGACAGAGCACGAGGGAGACGAGGGAGCACGAGAGAGGAAGAGGCCACGGGACCGGGCCAAGGACGAGGACCGCTAGCCAGAGACCACGGGGGACTGAGGCCAGCGGGGAGAGCGGCACCGGTGAGGGGGCGCGCATTGATAGCTAGGCCCACCGAAGACCGGGATGTGCCGGCTCTTCCCCGCGGGTGCCCGGTGGTGACCCGTGGTCTGCAAGGGGCTGGCGGGACTGCAGCCCGGTCCCGGGACGGAGAAGGGCCTGGAGGGAACCGAGGCCAGGGAGGGAACCGAGGCCAGGGAGGACACCGGTGCCCAGCGGACTACGGGTTTTATCATGATTTTAATGGACCTTTTGTAAATATTTTATTAAATTTTATCCCCTTTTTATCCTCTTCCTGTTTTACTGATCACACCCCCTCAACAGACACTTTTTAACCTGTGACACTTACACTGGTTGAGGATGTAGCCTTAAAGCTGACACTGGGTGAGGATGTAGCCTTAGAGCTGACACTGGGTGAGGATGTAGCCTTAGAGCTGACACTGGGTGAGGATGTAGCCTTAGAGCTGACACTGGGTGAGGATGTAGCCTTAGAGCTTACACTGGGTGAGGATGGCGAACAGGGAGCTCTTGAATGCGTCCTTGGCCCTCTCCAGCTCCTCGTCGCACTGGGCCTTGTCGTTGATGAGCGTCCTCACGTGGCTGTTGGACGACTGGATCATGGAGTAGAAGTGGTTGGCGTTCCTGCGGTTCACCTCGCCGCGCTCGATCCACGTGGAGAGCACCGCCGTGGCCTCGCTGAAGTTCTGACTGTCTGTGAGAACACCGAGAGGGTAAAGTCATTGCATCCTGAATAATACATGTTTGTTGTTTTGCAAAAGTAACTTGTTGTGAACAGACCAGAAAGTGCAGTTTTCATCTCAGTATTCAATCCAATTTATTCTTGTATCGCCCTAAATCACAACAGTAAGTTATCTCAGAGGACTTAACAAAACTGTTGAAATCGCCAACATAGATCAGAGAATCAAACAGTTCAAACACAGACATTATAGAACACATATGTATTGGTCCATATGGAGAGACCAATGTCCATGAACGTTGATAAATGTCCATACATGTTGTAGAATGTTAGAGTGTTCACAGTAAAGTGTCAATTCAAGTATCTGGACTTTAAAAGGTTATAACTCAAAATTAAAAACTAAAATTACTATCATAGATTGGAAAACAGATTTCAAACACAGACACATCAAAGAGATAGTGTGGATAAAATCAAAAGGAAAGATTGACAAATATATTTTTGGCGACATTTGAAACGACCAAATCAGCCTCTGATTGGACCATTCTACTGTGACGCCAGTTACATAGAAAATAAAATGTCCTCAGTCTGAAAAAGCGGCAGATGAAATCCCACAAGATTTACATTAACACAACATCAGTAAATCACTTGATATAAAAAGGAATCGTAAAAAAAACAACAAAAAACATTAAATGACCCTGGATAAAGGTGTAACGGACATGATGTTTTCCGTCCATTTTTCTCTAACAATTAAACTTGAGAAAAAACAAATGTCCGATTTCACATTTAATTTGTTGACTATATGAAATTATCACTTTGTTTCTACTCTGTGTAAAAAAATAGAATCTCTTAATCAAATGTGAACATCTGAAAATACGCAACAAACTTGTGCAAAGCTCATTCACGTCCGTTACATAAATTAAACAGGGCCGCTATAGGAAACTTGTCTAATGTATAAAACAGCTATGTTCTAGCAACTTCTAATGGGCAGAGGAGGGATTTGGAAACATGAAAAACATTGAATATCTTCCGATTATTACTGTTAACAAGCCCAAATTAACGACGGACGGGCTGAAGATCAGAACGAGGACCAAGGCCAAGCGGCGCAGGACTCAATGTAGAACGAGGATAGGTGCAATGCAGAACTGAAGAAGTCAGTCAAAAACATTATTCACACTTTTATGCAGTTCATTATTTAGTTTTTAACTTACTTCACTTTAGCTTTTATTCATTATTATTATTGAATTTGCACACATTGGCAGTCCTGGATCTACAGCCTCAGTCCTGGATCTACAGCCTCAGTCCTGGATCTACAGCCTCAGTCCTGGATCTACAGTCTCAGTCCTGGATCTACAGTCTCAGTCCTGGATCTACAGTCTCAGTCCTGGGTCTACAGCCTCAGCCCTGGGTCAACAGCCTCAGTCCTGGATCTACAGCCCCAGTCCTGGGTCTACAGCCTCAGCCCTGGATCTACAGCCTCAGTCCTGTATTTGAACTCTTTGATTCTCTGATCTGTTGCGTGCAACTTGATCACTTTGTGAAGTCCTCACAGATAACTCCTGTTATTAGGGCGATACACAAATACATTGTGAGGATTTGTCTGTTTACAAAAAATCAATACAGACTTTTTATTGAACTGCAGCCAAGTTTCCAACACATAAACCTGTATCAAAACACCAATAGAATTATAGAAGTATAATTGGATTAGAAGTGGATTTTGAGTCATAATTTACTAACATTGGAATCATTCATGTGTAAAAGATATAAGAATGAAACCTGTGAAGACATTATTTATCATCATGTGAGTGAGAAAGCTGCAGACTCGCTCTGGTTCTCACACACTTTCTATAAATAGTGGTACAAGCTTTTTTTCCCTGAGAATAACCTCCGTAAGCCGTGTGTCGGTGTGCGCCTGGGTCTTTGTCGCCGCTGTATTACTGTATGTGTAATCTTCCATAGCTTTCAATGGCTTTTTATCAGCCCAACAATGTCCCCGCAACGCTGCTATAACGGCGCATTGAGAAGCTCTAAACGATTTCTAATTCAGGCAAACTTCAATTATTATTCAAATGAGTGCGAGAGCGCTGGGCCCACGGAGACAAGAGGAGCCAGAGGAGACACAGCTGTTGGTTTTGGAGGTGAGTGACAGCGACAGAGCAAGAACCGACAGAGGGAAAGATGGAAGCAGTGGTGAGACCGTACTATCAATGTGGAACCAGCTGTTACTGGAATCTCAGACCATCAGAGAGACTTTAGAATCTAGTTTAATGTAGATTTTGGGGCCAAAGACAGGAGATGATGCGCTTCCCTGTTGTGGTCACATCCCAGGCCCTGCAGGCTCCGCTCGGACCACAGATCAGTGCTTTGGATGGGAGAAATGTCTTGGCTTGGTTCTCCTTCCTGTGTTGGCCCCGGCCACATGTGATTGACCTGTGTCTCGGTGTGTTTGTAGTTTTCTCTGGTTTCTCTCTGGTGTCTTTTTGGTTTCTCTCTGGTCTCAGGTGGTTAGTAAAGTGTACAAAGTGTTTTTTTTAGCCTGCTACTGAGAGGATTTATCTTATTGTTGGTTATTTTTAGAACAAAATCCTGCAATAAACGAAAGACTTTCTGTCTTTCTGCTCCTTTTCATTTGTGAGACAAGACGACAATTATTTGAAATGTAATTGTAATATGTGCAGTATTGTTCTTGTCTACAATTGAAACAAAGAAATAAATAAATAAATAAATAAAAGACGAATGTGATATAAACTCTCTCTCTCTCTTGTTTCTGGCTTCTCTCTGGCCTCACTCTGGAATCTCTCTCCAGCCTCTCTCTGGTCTCTCTCTGATCTCTCTCTGGTCTGTTTCTGGCCTCTCTCTGGTCTCTCTTTGGTCTCTCTCTGGTCTCACTCTCTGCTCTCTCTCTCTGGTCTCACTCTGGTCTCACTCAGGCCTCTCTCCGCTCTCTCTCTGGGCTCTCTCTGGTCTCTCTCTCTGGCCTCACTCTGGTCTCTCTCAGGCCTCTCTCCGCTATCTCTCTAGTCTCTCTCTGGTCTCTCTCTGGTCTCACTCTGGTCTCACTCTCTGGTCTCTCACTGGTCTCTCTCTGGTCTCTCTCTGGTCTCTCTCTAGTCCCCCTCTCTCTCAGGCCTCTCTCTGCTCTCTGGTCTCTCACTGGTCTCTCTCTGGTCTCTCTCTCTGGTCTCTCTCTAGTCCCCCTCTCTCTCAGGCCTCTCTCTGCTCTCTGGCCTCTCTCTGGTCTCTCTTCTGGTCTCTCTCTGGTCTCTCTCTGGTCTCTCTCTCTGGTCTCTCTCTGGTCTCTCTCTGGCCTCTCTCTGGTCTCTAGTCAGTGTGTAACTGAGCTGGTGGTTGTAATGTTGTGTCTGGCCTGTTCTTCTGTGTGGTGTTAGTCTCTGACAGTGCGTACAAATAGAACATCAATAATTGCTCAGGTTTCTCAGCGGGCGGCGGCTGCAGGAGTTGGTCCAGGAGCGACTGACCTCTGACCTTTAAAGCAGATCTGTGTTTTTTGGATGATTAAAAACACGCAGCGTTTGGAGGTAATCGCAGATTCACCTGAGGCTGAAGCTATTCTTAGAAACAGATTAGTGAGAGCGACAGGGAGGGATCAGGACTGCTCCAAACAACTGAGGGAAAGCAACCTTCACATTTTTATCATTAAATATTACTAAAATAACTTTAGGTCGATCAGGAGCGGATCTCCTGTGTAACCACGACAACAGGTTCCCTTATCAATAGCAGACAGGAAGCTTTTTCACATTGTCAATGTCAATGTCAATGTCTTTATTTATATAGCACATTTACAACAACACTAGCTGCCCAAAGTGCTTCACAGGCACGAATGATACAAATAATGAAACAGCATAAAATATATACACATACATGTAAAAGTAAAGTGGTAAAGCTCAATTGGTGTTAAAAGCCAAGGCGTAAAAAAACTTCCAATTAAGGAGCTGCTCTAATGACCAAAAGTAGACAATTCCACAGTTTGGGGGCAGCAACAGAAAAGGCTCGGTCTCCTCGAGTTTTGAGACAAGACCGAGGCACGTTCAACAAACACTGGTTTTTGGACCTCACAAATCTGACAGGAGCATACAGAGATAACAGCTCCGACAGATATACAGGGGCCAAACCATTTAAACATTTAAAAATAAGCATCAGAATCTTAAAATCAACCCTGAATGTAACAGGGAGCCAGTGAAGTGAGGCCAGCACGGGGGTGATGTGCTCTCTCTCATGTGTCCCCGTGAGTAAGCGAGCAGCAGAATTCTGCACCTGCTGACGGCGCTTTAATGAGCCGAGGTCCAGACCACAATACAACGAGTATTACAGTATTACAACGAGTGCAGTAGTCTATTCTAGATGAAATAAAAAGGTGAATAACTTGCTCAAAATCAGTGGGTGGGATGTAAGCCTTCACTTTGCTCAAGACTCGGAGCTGATAAAAGCTGGCTTTGATAACTGAAGTAATTTGCTTGTCCATCCTGAAGGTGCTATCAAAAATAACTCCTAAACTGACAACCATTGCATGGTTGTCAGTTTTAGTTCCAGTTTTGTGAAGTCCTCCGAGATATCTACTGTTGTGATTTAGGACTAAGAATAAAATACAATTTTATTATTTTATTATCTGTGTCTTTTTGATTTCCTTTGTTTGTATTTTTTTCCATTGTGAGATCAATAAAGTGTATCTTCCGTCTCTATCCTGAAGTGTTGCACCTGTGTGTCCCAGTCAAACCCTCTGCTCTTGATCCATTGTCTTCTTGTCTTTTATATTCAGTTGAGTTTTTTTTTTTGATTCATGTTTGTTAAATTATGCTATTTTTGAAGTTTACACATTTAAAAAATCCAGGCCAAAAATACTGAACAAACAAAACGAGATGCAGCAAAAAAAAGGAACATGACGATCTGCACATGAGGCAGGAACATACAAATGAAGCTGAAAGTGCAAATTCAGACTGAACGACCGGTCACGGCTCTCACCCGTCCAGGGCTTGCCAATCACACAGCCCGGCCAGCCCCTTGACAACCCACTGACAGCAAAGCGGGCAGTTTAAAAGCAGCCACTCCCCGATAGACAGCGCTTCCTGAAGCTTTTAACACCCACCACCTCCCCAGCGCCTCCTCAGCTCCTGGTTCCTCCACGGGTTTCCGCTCTGGCTCCTGATCTGGCTTCTGCTCCGCCTGCGCCCCATTTACACACCATACTTCTAGCCACCACCAGTGCTTGACCCCGGGGGGTCTTAGATCATCTACAGCAGCAGACGATCTCCCTTCTGCAAGTGTCACTGCCGGGGTCAATGCGCCAATCAAATAAATCTTTTTCATGCATTAATGTTTCTGTCTTGGTCTCTTCAGATTGAAACTACACTAAACACAGAAGGTCTCATGTGAGGGTGAGGGTGGGGTAGCGATCACGGACTTGTAAATCTGGAAATAAGGAAAGTGAAGGTGATTTTAAAACAAAACGCAGGACATGACGAGGACCACAGTGGGGAGGATTGGCCCCGCTGCCTGTAGCCTCTCAGTCCTGGATCTCGATTTGGGCCTTCCAGAGGTCCCTCAGTTTTTCCTATTGGATTTATTTTCTTGCAGTTGCAGAAGGGTCTAAGGACAGTGATGATCCAGGACATTTATGGAGATTTATTAATACTTTGGAACACTGGTCATCTCGCTCCCTATGGACCAACGGCTCTATGTGTTTGTTAATATTGCATTTTCTAAGTTTGAAATGTTTGATTCTCTGATCTGTGTTGGAGAATCGACAGCTTTGTAAAGTCCTAAGAGAGAAACTGAATTTATTTGAACTTAGCTGCAAAAAATCTTTCATTCAGCAATTTCTTGTAGCTCTTCTTCTCCACAGCTCCTCCACGTGCGTGATATCCGAGTGCATGATGTGAAGTGTAGACTGTGCTCCTCACCTTTCAGCCTCTCTGCCAGCACCCCGGCCTCGTGCTCAGAGTAGTGCACAATGGGAGGAGGCGATGGAGGCCTCAGCAGCTGCTCCTGGACCATGTGTCGGTGCCTCTCCTCGCGGGCCCACAGTCTCTGCTTACACTCCCACTCGTACAGGTCGTCCCGGGCCTGTGCAAAGTCCACGTGGATCTTCCCCGAGTCTTTCTTGTCCGTGCTGGAGCCGATACGCATGCGGTAACCTGCGGCGACACAAGAATACAAGAAATTTAAACGGCAACAACACTTAACCGTTCTCTTGGCTGCTGCTCACATGTGGCTCAGGTGAAGGTTCTTAAACTGCACACAAGTCTCGATGAACAATACTTCATAACGACAGCGTGACGAGCCGTGGAGCTGTGTTCGGGTGAGTGAAGCACTGGTGATGATCCAGGACACTCGACATTTATCAACAGTTAAGGACATTGGTCTCTGCCCCTTATGGACCAATGGCTCTGTGTGTTTTTATCATTGCATTTTCAGTGTTTGAGCTGTTTGATTCTCTGATCTGTGTTGGAGAATCGACAGCTTAAAAAAGTCCTTAAAGATAACTATTGTTGTGATTTAGGGCGATACAAGAATACGCTGAATTGAATCGAAGCTCTCACAGTCAGAGTTTGGGCTGTTGTTGTGCAGCTTTTTCCTATAGAAAGTTGTCTTGTTGTGAAGAATACAAAGGAATTGTTCATTTGTAAAACAGAAAGATTGAACCAAGAATAATACAACTTTTGACACGTTTTCTAAAGCCAAAGATCTGTTGTTAGAAATATAGTTTTCAAATATTTCAGCTTTGATGGTAAAAGCTTCACTCGCCCAAATATGGCTCCATAAACTTCTTCACCTCAGCCACATGTGAGCAATGACAGAGACTTACTGTTTTGCTTTGTGCAGTGGGGATATGAGGTAGTACAGGCTTGAATCTATTCTGACTGTGTTAAAACAAGATTCTCAGATGGGACAAAGACAGTTAGTCCTATTTCAAGAACTGTTGCTTTATTTTCTCATCCCAAGGGACACATTTCTTGTCAGTTTGCTTTGTCCCACTGGCAGATCTTGTTTTAAGGCAGTCAGAAAGTTAAGACACATGTTTTAGTAGTTTGTCCTTGTTGCAGTGTGTCTGACCTGACAAGTACATGGCCTTGTCCACCATGAACTCTTCGCTGAAGCGGATGTGGCAGAAGTTCTTCTTGCTCTTGCGGATCGCCATGATCTCTCCGCACTCGTCGAACACCTCCCGGATCACCTCCTCCGTGGCGTTCTCCGGTAACCCGCCCACAAACACGGTCCGACAGCCGGGCGGGCGGTCGCGGGTGGAGGGAGGAGGCAGGTCTGCAACACACCGACAATTACCAGCTGAGACCCACCAGCTGAGACCCACCATCTGAGACCCATCATTTGAGACCCATCATTTGAGACCCACCATCTCGGGTGACATCCGTGTAAAGAAGCTTGTTCTGCTTCATCACATGTTGCAGCTGTAGACTTCTGCCTTCACCAGAGTAACGTGATGGTGACGGTCTCTGATCAGCTGTTGTTACCAGATGTGACCACACCCAGATCCGTCATACTCACCACACCCCCTGTAGTCTCTGAAGAAGTGAGTCCCAAGTGTGAGTCAAGGTGAAGGTTGACTCTCAGTTGATGGTGCGTGTCCTGCTTCCTGATTTCAATCCCCTTTCTATCCTTTTGTAATTGGGTTTGTGGCCAGTTTGATAGATCAGTCAGACAGATCCATCTGGTAACTACAGTTGAAAGACCATGAAGCGTTCACACAGTCCTCCTGGTGTAGTTGCCGATGTAAATACTTAGGTTGGTCAAGTTCTCGTCATAAGTCTCTCGTTGAAGCCGATGAAATTAACTTTGTCAGGTCTGTAAATATTGGGACATTGACACAATTCTGATCAGTTGAACTTTCAAATTATGTTACGATCAAATCATTCATTCAAGTCATTCTCCTCAAAACAGCTTGGTTTCGTCACAAGTTTTCAAAAAAAATTTGGCGTCTGTCCCAGAGAAGTGAAAGCGGACCACCCTCCCTTGGCCAATCAGCTCTCAGGCCAAAGTAAGTAAGTAGTAAGGAAGTAATCTTAATTTATATACTGCCTTTCACAGACCAGAGTCACAAAGCGGTTTACAATTGTGGGAATTTGTCCTCTCATGTTTTTAGTGGTAGGGGAAACCGGAGTGCCCGGAGGAAAACTACGGAGACACAGGGAGAACATGCAAACTCCACTCAAAACGGCTCTGTTCCGACCGGGGTTTGAATGCAGTCGGTATGCAGAATATAGCATGTTTTCTAACAAGAAGAAGATGAAGAATTGTGGTGATTTGCCATATTTTACTTCCTATCCGGGGAAACCACATTATTTAGGGACTCCTCCAAAGTGAGGAGTCCCAGCTTTAACTGCAGTATCTCAGATGTACTCACTGGGGTTCTGCGGGAACAGGGTGCAGCTTTTGCAGTGGATGATCTCTTTGACCACAGGCAGCTCTGGACCAGGACCAGGACTGGGACCAGGACCAGGACCCGGACTGTGGACCAGCCCCAGTCCCACCAGAGGATTCAGCGGCGTCAGGAGGCGCAGGCTGGGGTCGAAGCGCTGGAGACACAGAGGCTCTGAAAACACAACATAAAAGAGTTCAATAGATGCTGGACCTTCCTGCGAGCTCGCTCAAAAATGGTGGAGTGGAGTTTGCATGTTCTCCCTGTGTCTGCGCAGGTTTCCTCTATTACTGAAAATTTATACAATAGGTGTCTGAAAAAGTTGATCTACAGATGTGAAAAAGGCCTCTAACAAACGTATGTGAACACTAGTGATAGAACAAACTCAACTGTGAGAGCAAGAAGCGAGAAGATTTCTGTACGACATCGTTATGCTTCTGTGGTTCCAAAGTTAGGTACATCAGCTTTACAAGACCAGAACGTCTCACCATTTTGAGAGTCTTACACATATAGACGGCACATGTCTTTGTTTGGGGCGTCTTCCATCTGTAACATTTCAACATCAGGATTTTGCGATGACCCAAACTTTGCTCTAATTACCTCCACATTTTTACCCCAGAGAAACCAGTTCTGATGGTTGTCTTCCTCTGCGTCTGAGCATTTCTACTTTTGGCAGAAAAACCCGGAGCCAGAGGCGATCAGCTGGTCCCACTCGGCTCACAATCCATCTCCAAGAATCTTATACTGGAGATTCAATTACTGCACTGGTGGATATTTTGTAGTAGTAGTAGTACTAGTAGTAGTAGTAGTAGTAGTAGTAACAATAGTAATAGTAATAGTTAGTATTTGTAGTATCAGTAGTAATAGTAAGTAAGTAAGTTTTTATTTATATACCGCCTTTTCACTGCAGATCTGAGTCTCAAAGCGGTTTACAATTATTAATTTTGGGAAATTGTCTCTCACTCCACACAGAGATGGGAGCGGGGTCGCCAGTACAGGAAGCGCATGCCAGAACTATTGGACATACTTTTAGTGGTAGGGGAAACCGGAGTACCCGGAGGAAACCTACGCAGACACGGGGAGAACATGCAAACTCCACTCAGAAAGGCCCTGGTCCGACCGGGATTCGAACCCAGGACCTTCTTGCTGAGAGGCGAGAGTGCTATCCACTCAGCCACCGTGCCGCCCATAGTAGTAGTAGCAATAGTATAGCAGTATAGTAACAGTAGCAGCAGCAGTAGTAGCAGCAGCTGTAGCAGTAGCAGCTGTAGCAGTAGCAGCAGCAGTAGTAGCAGCAGCAGTAGCAGTAGCAGCAGCAGTAGTAGCAGCAGCTGTAGCAGTAGCAGCAGCAGTAGTAGCAGCAGCTGTAGCAGTAGCAGCAGCAGTAGTAGCAGCAGCTGTAGCAGTAGCAGCTGTAGCAGTAGCAGTAGTAGCAACAGTAGCAGCAGCAGTAGTAGCAGTAGTAGTAGCAGTAGCAGCTGTAGCAGTAGTAGCAACAGTAGCAGCAGCAGTAGTAGCAGTAGCAGCTGTAGCAGTAGCAGTAGTAGTAGCAGCAGCAGTAGTAGTAGCAGCAGTAGCAGCTGTAGCAGTAGTAGCAACAGTAGCAGCAGCAGTAGTAGCAGTAGCAGCTGTAGCAGTAGCAGTAGTAGCAGCAGTAGTAGCAGCAGCAGTAGTAGTAGCAGCAGTAGCAGCTGTAGCAGTAGCAGTAGCAGTAGTAGTAGCAGTAGCAGCAGTAGCAGTAGCAGTAGTAGTAGCAGTAGGTCAGAGTGACACTGCTGCTGCAGATGCCTGTGTGATGAATGTGAGAGTGTGGTTTTAAGTGCCCTGATATCTCTGACACCATTTTAACGAGTTTCTCTGGCCCCGAGGAGCAGAGCGGGAGAGGGAGGGGGGTGCTGGGGGCCACTGTGCTCTGCTCTGGTGATGAATGAGGTTTGTGCTGCTGTTTTCTCTCTCCACAAACCTCAGCTGCGTTCACCTGAGCCCTGTCTGAAGGACACCTCACACCGACTAATACTCCACTCTGATTGGCTGCTACAGTTGTGGACGCTGGAGGCTTTTCAATGTGTTTCTGGAATAGATTTATCTGAGACTTCAGTGAATGGTGTGATAAAAACTAATATAATCCAGGATTTACAGCCTCAGACCCTGGATCTGGTCCTCTGCCCTTATGGACTAATGGACCCATGTGTTTGTTAATATTGCATTTCCGGCGGGCGTATACTCGGGCATCACTGTGTGCGCTGGCGTTTGCCCTTGATCCACAGCGCAGCAACGCGTGAGTATGCAAATCAACAATTTTGAAAAGTCTGAGGACTGCTGTTGTGATTTTTCTTGGGTTTCATATGACGTTGGGGCAGTGGCGCGAATGACATGTGTGGGACAGGACTGGACCGGACGTGACGTACCCTGGCGGTGCAGTCTCCCGGGTATATACACAGAGGTAAATAAAGACAAGAGTTTCTTCCATGTTCCAACTGTGGTGTCATATAAAGCAGTACATTTCAAATCACTCAAATGAGGCGGGCGAGGGGGATCAAGGCATTTCCAGATAAGCGCCCCCTGCGGGCCACCCGAATGAAACTCAGCCTAAATCAAGACTCTTTTGAGAAATATTTTTTAGTACTCCTTTAGAATAGAGTGTCCCCGATTAAGACTGTTAAAACAAACATACACCGCACAGGATGAGAGCCTTTTGACTCCAAAACAGACACGATTTACATGGTTTTCAATGGGAGCAAAACTGAGTTGTCCCACCTCTGCTCATTCGCCCACTACAGGCCAGGTTAATGAAACCCACGAATAAAAAAGTATAGAAGTATTTTCTAAAAAATCAGGCCGAAAGCATTAATTTTACACTGTAGTGGAAAGGCTACCTCTAAAGTGTAATGGAAACACAAGCAGGTAGACTAGGGCCAAATAGGGCTAGTGGAACCTTGCTTAAGTCACTGGATTCTTCTGGAGCAGGCTGTGATAGGCTGTAGTGTGCTGTAAGTGTGTGCAGCAGGTGGGAGCAGGGAGGTCTCTCTGCATCAGGAGAGCCGTACATCAGAGCTGCTCCACAGTAATCACTGGGGGCCATTAGTCGCACTGCTCTGACGGCTCCTTCAGACTCCATTTCATTCACTTTAACCTTGTTTAGGGCAAAAGGAGGAACAGCCCAGTTCTGGTGCAACGTGGAGGCCGTGTTCAAATACAATCGTTGTTTCTAATGCGAAATGTGGCTCCTGGCAAATGGAATCCATCAAAACCTCTACGTAAACCAAGGGCCGCATGAGGCCGAGTCTGGGTGAAGCTGGGACGCATTAAGGGCTACGTATATCATGTGTTTGTGTGTGTGTAGAATATATGAACAGTGCACTCAAATAAACTCAATAATTAGGGTTTTCAATGGTGTATGACCCAAATCATCCTCACACATGTGCTTAGGACTGTGAAACATGAAGAAGAGAGAAATATGGGACCTTTAAGTCTGGATCTTTTTGGGTGAATGAGGATAGAGGGTGTTTTTTCCGGACGAGTTCGTGTGAGGACTGGATGATCCAACCGTCTGAATCAGACTTTATGACACACAGATGTGAGAAAGAGTCTCAAGACCAAATGTCTGGAAAGTGATTCAAGCAGGAACCAGCTGTGATCTCACGTTACAGACAAAGAATCGAATGAGGAAACACTTTGTCCACATGAACGAGGCCGGTGTGGTTTTAAAGGTGCTCTGTGTAACTTCTCTGATGTCTGGTGTGTCAGCACTTTTCTATGTACACACAAGAGAGTGGCAGACACAGGGGCAGACATGGCTGCAGACGTTGTGGCAGACTTTGTGATGGAGATGGAGATTGGATTTTCGAGAGAAGACTAATTCACACACATAGAGTCATTGGTCCAGAGGGGGAAGATGACCACTGTCCATAAATGTTATTAGACTAATTGCGTCTGAACAACATTTGACTTGATTGGATCACAATGAACAGTTTAAAAAGTTAGAGTTTCTCACCGGACATGAGAGGCTGTGTACTGAGCCCCATAGGGACGATGCCCAGGTTGTTCATGGCAGTGGTCCAGGCTCCAGGCTCCGAGGGGAGGGGGGGGAGAGAAGGGAGGGAGAGAGGGTGCTCCATGCTTCCCACGGCGTCTGCTGCAAGAGAGAAAGGAGAGACATCAACCAGGTCACCTGTGGTGTGCTTTCATTTACTCTCAGTAATGAACATGTACTTGTAACTGCGGTCAGAGACAATGTTCCAATTTCAATACAATAACTAATTATATCTCTGATGATAAACCAGGAGACAGTAATGCCGCGTTCAGACCGGATCATGCGTTGCAGCGACTTTCCATGCAAAGTCAATGGTGAACTGCATGTGCGTCTCGGGATGCACTTACAGACTGCGCGGTAGAGACGGTAGGTGCAGAAAATCAACGGAAGAGATAAATATTGCTGAACGTTTCCTTGGACGCTCGTGCAGCGACCAATCAGAGAGCCGCAAAGTGGTCATGGGGACATTAGCGGACTGAGCGAGCAGACTGAACATACTGTTAACAGCCAAAACAGGAGCTACACCAGGACTAAACCAGGACTAAACCAGGGTTGACAATGGGGGACATAATACAATGGGGGACATAGTGCTTGTTAACATGTGAGTTTTCATGCTCCCGTGACTTTATGCAACTGCTTCGAGCGTGTTCACCGATGCGGAAGTACCGTTTAATGATAAAATAAACGAATGCCGCACCTCCGTGAACACATACTGCTGATATAAAGTCTCTGTCAGGTCTCTGGACACAGAGAGGCTGCAGATGTCACGGTGTGGATTTTGTTATTTTGTATTTTGGTTTTCTTTTGACATTGTTCTCTGTAGTTTGGTTTGACTTCCTGTGCTGTTTCCCCTGTCTTGATTGTCTGCCCCGCCCTGATTTGTTTCACCTGTGTCTGTGTCTATATGTACCCTGTGCTTCTCTCCCCTTGTTGCTGGTCCATTGTCTTGTTCATGTCTTGTCAAGTTCTGTCCTGTTCCTGGTTTCTTTTGATTTTGGAGTTTATTTTTATGCCTTGGACTTTGTTTTATTAAAACCTTTATCTTTGCATTCCTGCGTTTGAGTCCTCCATCATCTCACTCCATGACAGCAGAGCTGCATTATTGGAGAAGAACTTTACACAAAAAGCCGCTCGCTTAACTCCATTAGCATCAAAGTCCGCCCGCTACTTCCGCCACTTCCGGCGGGCGCCACCGCAGCCCAGGACTTCTGGTGTGAAATTAGAGAATGTGCGTCTGGTGCGCGAGGCGTCAGCGTTCCAGCGTCGGCGGTCTGAACACGTCACAATCCTTCATAAACACCAATCTATATTGTTTTATAACACCCAAAGACTTTGCGACAGGGCTCAGTTGGTAGATCGTTGGTCTTTGGGCCTGACAGTCGTGGGTTCAATCCCCAACAAGACCTTCTCCCTCTGGTGTCTGCTGTCGTTGTGTCCTTGTGCAAGACACTTAACTCCCCTCTGCCTGAAGCCAACACTGAAAGATCAAGAGCTACATACCACTAGCCAAAGCAGATCTGTGGAGCTACGTACCACTAGCCATAGCAGATGTCCCTCTTCAGCCCTCTCATCAGAACCTTCAGACTCTGGCAGGTGATGTTCTGACTGGATCCGAGAGCTTGTGGTTCCCCTGCAGACAGACAAAGGAAGATAAATGAAGTCTTTACAGTATTATAAAGATTTAAAATTCCCATCAGATTTATTGATTGGTCCAAATACATGTATTTCTGGCCTCTGCCACATCGAGATCAGCTTTTTCAAACAGAACAGTGGAATATAGAGGACCACCCTCACTCAGCCAATGTCAATCATGGAAAAGATTAACTGTTTTCTAAAAAGATGTTGACAAGACTTTCTGTTTCTGTTGAGACAAACATTTATCATTTATGAAAACTATTTATGGAACAATGAAGTTACATTCCTCAGCTTTAACTTTATTGCACTGACTCAGCAGAAGTGTTAAATTCAAAAGCAACATTCATTGAGGATGTATCTACTCAAACAGAGTTGTCAAAAGTGTCAATCATTACGAAGGTCCCGCCCCCAGGCTGTGGTTCATTCGTCGATCTGACACTGACTGGATCTGACACTGGACATGTCCCACTGAGGCGTCTGAGGAGCAGACCATGTGTCCATCAGTCATGCAGAAAGAAGAGAAAGTTTGACGCTGTGTTCATAACCTCAGAGTAACTCGGAGAAGGGACCTGACTGTTTTAATGTGACATCACTAACAGGAGACAAAAGTAACATATTTTCCCCAAACAGCATTAAAGGAGTTAAAAACAGAAGCATAAATACTCGAGAAACTACCCAAACTATACGCGATGGGCAATACTTTTGTTTAAAACGGCAGGACTATGGTCGTGTGTGTATGAGTGTATATATGTACAGTATGTGTGTGTATACTGTGTGTGTGCGTGTGTATATATATATGTGTATATGTTATGTGTACAGTATTTGTTTGTTTGTATGTGTGTACATGTGCTTTTTGTAATTATATGTGATCTTTGAGTGACTCTTGCTCACTGTATCCCTGGTTGTGTGTCTGTATGTGTGTGTATATATGTGTGTATGTGATCTTTGAGTGACTCTTGCTCACTGTATCCCTGTGTGTCTGTATGTGTGTGTATATATGTGTGTATGTGATCTTTGAGTGACTCTTGCTCACTGTATCCCTGGTTGTGTGTCTGTATGTGTGTGTATATATGTGTGTATGTGATCTTTGAGTGACTCTTTCACACTGGGCTCCAGGTTGTGTGTCTGTCCCCAAAGTGACGTTTTGCGGCTCTTCGGTCGTGTTTGTGATTCATATTTGATGCACAGAATCAAAGTGCAGCAGTAAAACCCTCAGGCCTTTGGAGAGTTGCAGTTTGTAACCACTCAAACATTTATGACACTTTAACTCAGACACACAGCTCCAAACACCAGCACGACTCACGGAGAATATGCACACACTTTCCACAACGTTAGGATGTTGTTTCATTAGAGACAACACAACTCTGGATGGGTAAAAGCCTTGTAGAGACCTGTGTGTTTGTGGAGCAGAGCATTAGGACCAGGAGGAGACTTGACTCTTTACTGATGCAGCAGGGCCTGAGGACATTCATGTTCAACCACCCATCAGCTGATACACACAACCACCAGAAAAACACACATATATTTTTCTATGTTCTTGCTGTTTCCTCTTATACATGGACTGTCTACAGATGGACGATGCTAACTCGCTAGCTCAATGAAGCCAGATAGAGAAGTGTCAAAGGCTGTGATCCTGCTATAGATAGATAGATAGATGGATACTTTATTGATCCAGCAGCAGAAGACTCATCTAGGTTTGTTGTACAGTCTGACAGCCGAAGGAACAAAGGATCTCTTGAAACGTTCTGTTCGGCTGCGTAGTGACAGGAGCCTGTTGCTTCGATGACTCCTCTGAGCGGCCATAGTGTCATGCAGAGGGTGTCTGGAGTTACCCCGGATGTCCTGCTTTAGAGCCCTCGACCTTCTCTCCAGCACAGCTCCCACAGAGTCCACACTTCTCCCCATCACGGAGACACATTTCCTGATCAGCCTATCGAGCCGGTTACTGTCTCTGGAGGTCAGACTGCCGCCCAAGCCCTGGTGATCCAAGATGGCTCCCTATTCAAATGAATGGCTTGTGCTCAGTAGCGCATGGGACTTAATGGAGACCGGGAGATTAGCAGAACTCGCCTATATTTGGGCATCGTCTGGTCCTTCCGGTTCTACGCATTGGACGAGCTCCCATGATGCGTGTGTGGCTTTCATGCACGTGCACAGAGGGGCTCGGCCGCGCTCTGACCAATCAGAGCTGCTGATCAGAGCAGAGTTAGAGCGGAGTCAGAGCAGGAAGGAAAGGAGCAGAGTTTGTGGCAGTAAAGTGTGGATTTAAAGAAAACAGAAGAATTTATGAAGAAAAAAAGTTCAGGATGACAAGGGACACTAATATCCCCACAAAATCCGATCTGTATGAAAGCTGTAGGTTCTCTGTCAGCTGAGGTCAAGCTGTTTTAATTTACATTGAGTTCTATGGGACTTTATTCTGGGTAGCCCTCGTGAATTTAGTCTGCAGTACCACGGGCGCTCCCTGTGCCCGTGGGTGGGACAGCTCTAAGCTAGTGATACACTGTCTAGTTATTATTATAGATCCATGCTGCCGCCCCAACACGTGACCGCAAAGAACACGGGCCTAGCTACCACAGACTGGTGAAATAGAAATGAGCCATGTAAGAACTGACCATCAGTGACCAATCAATATTCTGGATTTATTTTGAGTGTTTTATTTCTGGGATTGAACCAAAGCTGAGCTAAAGCTAAAGAGGACTCAGTAATGTGGACAGATACATGTTTTTCATGATTTATTATGAGGTATAACAAGCCATTGTAGCTCTCACTAAGCTGCAAACCTTCATTGGTCTGCCCTATGCTGTTATAATAAACATCTAGCAACAAAATGAAGTATTGTGGTTTCAAAAAGAAAGTCAACAGCTCAGTCTGAAGAGTCCCATAACATAACCAGGGTGAAAAATTTAGATTTGAACAGAAGGATGTGTTTGTCGTGTGTTTGGTGATGATCCAGGACACTTATGGACCAATGTCTCTATGTGTGAACGGTTTGATTCTCTGATCTGTGTTGGAGAATCGACAGCTTCGTAAAGTCCTCTGAAATAACTACTTCTGTGATTTAGAGCGAGACTAAATTAAATTGAATAGAATTGAAATGTGTGCTGATTATAAACAGCAGTCCCTATGGTCCTTGTGGACGTAGCTGACAGGAACATTTCTTTTATAACATCTATTTTTAGAATATTATTTAGATTAGATCAGATATTTCTGTGAATGATCCAGGGCTGTACCTGGTGTAACTGTGTCCTCCATAAACACAGCGTTTGGAGCATGTTCCAGTTCTTTCTTTGAGTAACCCGCGACGTGCTCTTCTCTGGAGTAAATGCAGATGAGTCCTGATTGTTATTCGTCTCACGTCGCTGTTCGCTTCTGACACGAGCAAATCATCCTGAACCGAGACACGTCCTGTTTTTATTAAAATTCAATCAACTCACTGTCCACTGTGCTCCACACTGCAGCTCATCATTATATAAGTCTCACCGATCCAGGAGAAACCGGAGGCTGGAACTATGTACTTTAAACTAGGGTTTAATCCCGGGACACGGGATTCCCGGGAAATCTGATCAAAACTATTTCCCGATTCCCGGGAAATGTTATGACGGGAAACGGGAAATGAAAGTTTAAAAAAAAAATCCAGTGCGCTCCTATTATAGAGCATGTTTATTGTTGTTCAAAGTTCAAACATATTTCATTTACAATCAACATGTCTACAGCTGAGAGGATGGCTCATAAATTGTGTTTTTGACAACAAATATGGGTCTTAATCGCGCTAAACCACAACTTGTAATGAGGCCAGCCTCAGGGTACGGGGCACATGTGAGCCCAGAATTCGGCTACATTCAATTCTATCAGAAAGCTCCTTTCTTTTTTTCCATCGGCTAAGGGCAGCAACAGGTTTGGCTAACATACATATAATACATTTTAAGAGTTTATTTCCAAATGGGGGATTACATATCTGCGCTCAAACTATTATCTGGACTTAAACATGAAACTGGTCTGAACTGAAGTGGTCTGTGCTGTTCATTAATAACTAAGGTAAGACCCATAACACAATTGGAAATGTGCCTTTTACGAACTTTTGCGTTTTGTTTGAGCAAACAATGCGGGCCATGGAAAACATTCTGCTGTAGCCAAACTAATTGTGAATAAGCCGCTCTGTAGGTTCTGTTGATTTATATGATATATATTCATCTGATTGGGCTGAAGTCTGTGCCTCCAGACCACACCGCACGTCACTGGTTGACAAGTGGATTGCGCAGACATTTAGAATCTCATAATAGTGAAATTCCTGAAGAAAGCCCATCAACAAAACGTCTGAAAACGCTATGGCTACTTTAGCAAAGCTAGCAAGTCGCTTGGTGAAACATTAGTGGAGATGGCAGCTTTTGTTGGATTATATATTTGAGTGATATCATACATTACTTGGGCTAAAAACAACAACTACAAACAACAGCTATTTCCCGGGATTTCCCGGGAAAGGCGTCGTCTTTTCCCGGGATTTGATACATCTCATTTTTGGGAAAAATATTAAACCCTACTTTAAACCAGCTTTAGACCAGCTTTAAACTAGCTTTAAATCAGGTCTAGACCAGCTTTAAACTAGTTCTAGACCTACTTTAAACCAGCTCTACATCAGCTTTAGACCAGACTTAAACTAGTTTTAAACCAGCCCTAGACCAGTCTTAAACTAGCTTTAAACTAGCTTTAGACCAGTCTTAAACTAGCTTTAAACCAGCTTTAGACCAGTCTTAAACTAGCTTTAAACCAGCTTTAGACCAGATTTAAACCTGGCGTCTCCACAGACTCAGATGTGGCAGAATGGTATGCTCAACTGAAACATGAAATAGAATAATCAATGAAGTTTTCGTTTTCTTCTAGGAATATTATTGAAAAGATTAGGTCTCCTCGTTCTACAGTCTGAGTCCTGGATCTACAGCCTCAGTCCTGGTGAACCGCATCATAGTGAGACAGCGCTGTATCATTTTGCTTTACTTCACATCTATAAAATGTATTTGTGTATAGCCCTAAATCACAACAGTACTGTAGTTATCTCAGAGGACTTTACAACCAGCTTCAGAACCAGGAAGTACGATCACATTAGTCCAGTCCTCAGGTCTCTGCACTGGCTTCCTGTGGCTCAGAGAATAGACTTTAAAACAGCTCTGCTTGTGCTCCTCCCACCAAAATATATTAGTGACATGTCAGTCCCATATGAACCAGCCCGGACTCTGAGGAGCACAGGGACTGGACTCCTGTTAGTGCCTAGAGTCAGAACTAAACATCGGGAGGTTGCTTTTTAGATTCATGCTGCTAAAATCTGGAACAATCTTCCTGAAGATGTGAGCCTCCTCTCTGACAATGTTTAAAAACAGGTTAAAACAGTGCTGTTTAGCTGTGCTACAACTGAGGGATTTTTATATATATATATTTTCATCTTTCTTTTACTGTGATTATTTATGATTTTAATGCTATCTTGTTTTGTTCAGTACTTTGAATTGCCTTGTGTATGAATTGTGCCATAGAAATAAACTTGCCTTGCCTTGCCTTGCCTTACAAAGCTGTCAATTTTCCAACACATAAATGTAGCTAAAGTCACAGAAACTGCTGCGTTTGTGGTCGAAAAACAAAGAAAAATGTGGCCGCTGTATGAGTACTTTTGCACATCTCTTTGGGGTGACATTTCTGCTCCTCTCTCGTCTGTGTTGAATCCACAGATGTTGATGTCGGTGTAATGGGCCCTGGCTTGGCTCTTTACAGAAAACCCACAGCCTCCTCGCGGCACAGACCTGCGTGTCTGCCTCTCACTGACGATCTTTGTGTTTGCCGATGAAATGTAGCGTCTCGCAGGTGCCGCACACTGCATTAGGGTCTCTGTAATGCTGCAGGATCGCACACACGTCTGTTCGTGTCTGAGCAAACACAAGCACACGCGTGACAAATAAGGGAAATATGGAAATATGGCTCCGTAGTGACTGAGTGAGTTCTTTGCCTTCAATTTATTATTCACATTTATCAACATTTCTGGACATTGTTCATCTGCCCCTTATGGACCAACGGCTGCTGTGAGTTAGGGCGGTACACAGAGAGATGGACTTGAGTCAAACAAGGCCCGGGTTGGCTATTTTGAAGGTGAATATGTCATTTTGAAATTTTAATCACATTGAAATTTGTAAACTGAAATAGAAAAATTCAAGCTCATTTAAAATTCTAATTCTGATGACACAAAAAATCTCCCATATTTGCTCTAGCTTCCCCTGACTCCTCTCTCTCCTCCCCCTTCTCCAGGTGTCCTGTCTCCTCTCTCTCTCCTCTGGGCCTCCCCTCTCCTCTCTCTCCTCTGGTTCTTGTCTCTCTCCTCTGGTCCTCCTATCCCATCTTCCAGGCCTCCTGTCTCCTCTCTCTCCTCCAGGCCTCCAGTCTCCTCTCTCTCCTCTGGTCCTCTACTCTCTCCTTTGGGCCTCCTCTCTCTCCTCCAGGCCTGGACTTCTTCTCCTCTCTGATTTTCCCTTCTCCTCTCTCCTTTGGACATCTTCTCTCCGCTCTGGTCCTCCTCTCCTCTCTCTCCTCCAAGCCTCCGGTCTCCTCTCTCCTCTGGACCTCCTCTCTCTCTTCTCTGGTCTTCCCCTCTCCTCTCTCTCCTCTCCCTCCTCCGGGCCTCCTCTCTCCTCTCTCTCCTCTGGTTCTTGTCTCTCTCCTCTGGTCCTCCTATCCCATCTTCCAGGCCTCCTGTCTCCTCTCTCTCCTCCAGGCCTCCAGTCTCCTCTCTCTCCTCTGGTCCTCTCCTCTCTCCTCTGGACCTCCTCTCTCTCCTCTCTGGTCTTCCCCTCTCCTCTCTCTCCTCTCCCTTTTCCGGGCCTCCTCTCTCCTCGCTCTCCTCCGGGTGAATCCCTGGTTGCTCCTGTGTCTTCTGCTCAGTTTCACACACATGAAACATTCATCTCCCTCTGCGTCCTGTTTATAATTCATGACTCACTTGACATTGCTGCATCATTCACACCGGCGCCGCCTCTGTGGCCGTTAGCTTAAGCATTAGCTCTAGAATTAGCATTAGCATAAGCGTATAGCACTGAAGAGATGGGACTTGAAGCAGTGGTAGAAACCATAACTTCAACAAAGGGACAAAGGGAAACAATCCCATTGCAAATGAGTGAACACCTGATAGTTACAACAAATCTGCGAAGAGGAATGGGTCAGAATTCCAACCAACTACTGTGGAAGGATTGAAAATCAAAACAGCGTACAGGTGTACAAGCGTACAGCGTACAGGCTTTTTATGAATACAACGTCTGTCTTTGTATATACTGTACCTGTGTATGTGTATGAAATGTGCACTTTATTTATCCCCGTAAAGAAATGTGGTCTCTGCATTTGACCCATGTCAGTCAGTCGGTGTAGTAACAGAGGACCCATCTCCAGATGTTGATGCTCTTCAGGACCAAAGCTGGAGGATTTTCCTATTGTACATGGTTTTAGTGGTAGGGGAAACTAGCCTGGCTCTGCCAGACCCATGTAGTTCCGCCATGCTCCACCAGAGGTGTTTGGCTGAACCACATTGGTCTGGGACTCCTTCATAGCGGATACATTTCAGAAGGCAGGGCCTTGTAGAAAAAATCCTTGTAAGTGATTGGATAAACCACTTGTCCGTTTTCTTGAATGAAGTCTGCTTTCAACCACTCACATCGAAGCACACGACTCCCATAGGTTGCCAAATGCCGGCAAGATTTTCCAGCCCAAAATCCGCGAGAATGCCCAAAAAAATAAACACTCAGAATTATTTTTGGGCTAAAAACGTTATGTAATCAACTTGGGCTATCATGATTCTGTTTATTGTCTTTCTGTTTATTTATTACCTTCAAGTCTCTTGGAAAAAGTACGCAGGAACCCACCCAACCTGGCAACCCCGCTGTATAGTGTTGTAACAGGAACACCTATCCCAGTGCTTAAACCAAACTTTACACGGACATTTGATTCTTAAAACACACTTATAACAACATGGAACCATCAACATCTCGCCTCATATTGCATTATAAGTGACATCCGTGTCTTAATTTGTTCGTATTTAAACTTTTAAAAAGATCTGCATGACACTCACGAGAAGATAGTGCAAACCCGACGTAACACCGACAATCCTGATCGGTCGATTATTTTCTGATCTGCCGAAGGAGTTTGCTATGCGCTCGATACCAGACCAATGTGGTTCAGCCAAACTCCTCTGGTGGAGCATGGCAGAACTGAATGGGTCTGGCAGAGCCAGGCTAAGGGGAAACCGGAGCAACCAGAGGAAATCTACGCAGACACAGGGAGAACATGCAAACTCCACTCAGAAAGGCCCTGTTCCGACTGGGACTCAAACCCAGGACCTTCTTGCAAAGAAGTGTGAGTCTGCCACCATACTGGGTGTGTGTGTGTGTTAGTGTTTGTGTGCATGTGAATGTCAGTGTGTGTGTGTGTGTGTGTGTGTGCTACATTGGTGCCTGCAGTTGTGTTGCTCATCTCCAAACAGCCTCAACACAAACTCTGTCTCTCTGATTATGAATGTCATTTATCTCTGAGTTCAACGTGTGAAGAATCCACCGGGAACAAAACACAACAGACACAGAGACAATGAGAGACAGAGACACACACAGCTGAGACAGAGAGACACAGAGATAGACACAGAGACATAGAAACAGAAAGAGAGACACAGAGACACATGTATTTTCTAAAAACTAATAAGGAGAAGATGAGATCTGGAGCAAACGGAGACTATAGGACCAGGGCCATTTCATGTTTTTTGTGATAAATCTCTAACATGTCTGTAATAAATCTCTGAGGTGTTTGTCTCCAAAGCCACAGAGAAAAGTCCTTCAGGAGACGAACATTCCCCTCGTTCCTCAGATAACGCAGCTGCAGCAAATACATAAATCACTGAGTGTGAGGACATTATGCAAAGAGGAAAACGGCCGCAACCTTGAATGAAAAATCATCCTTTTACTGAAGCAGAGAATAATAACACAAAAGCTTCACACGTGGATCCTGGGAATGAAGAGCATATCATTATGAAAGTGATTTGGTAAAAGATCTGAGCTTTGGCCCTTACGTTTTAACCCCCGATCATATTTACCCAGGTCACACTTTGTAAACAGAAATAGTGTTTCAGTATTATTAACCACAAGCCACCATGAGCTGATGGATTTACCATATTTCAAATGCATTTTGTGAAGAATGAGGAGGAAAGAGAGGAGGGTTTTCAGCAGAAGGAGACGGATGTTCACTAAAGACCTGAACATCAGAAGAAGAGCCTCTATGTAAACAAAGCAGGGTGAAGGTCTGAGGCCCTAAGACCAAGTCCTGTTTGTCTTCAGGACTGGTGTGTGTCTGTGCCTCAGGGCTCCTCAGCTGAGCCATCACCACTGTTTACAGAGAGGCTCTTCCATCTTCAGTAAGGCCAGACAGGTTTATTTGTATAGCACTGTTCATACAGTCAACTCAAAGTGCTTAACAAAACCAAACAATCACACAAGGCATTCAAATCATAAATAATCACAGTACATTACAGATACAATCCTTCTGTTGTATGCACAGCTAAACGGATCTGTTTTCACCTGGATTTGAACAATGTCAGAGTAGAAAACTGTCTCATAATTCCAGATTTTAGATGCATAAATCTGAAACACCAAGTTTACTCCAAGTTTGGAGGAAGGAAATTATTCTGAATGTTGTAGGGAGTGACATTTGTATAGAGTAAATGAATAAATGTGTTCGTTGCTAACCCTAGGCGGAACCCACTTTTCCCACATCTGCCGACATCGAAGCAGAGCAAGACAAACACATTATCATTTGGATCCGTGCCACTTTATGACAAGTGCTGGAGTAAAGTGCAAGTCGAGCTAGTTACCCCAAAAGGACATTAGTTTAAATAACTTGTCAAACTTCCCCCTGGAACTTGCAAAGATTATATATAAGATTATATATAAGTAGAACATATATGATATAACATGCATGCACAGATCTCCTGCGTTGTCCAACCTAAAGCCTGTGTCCATGTGTTCAACATAAAGACTTCCTGCTACTATAAGTATTCAGTCTGGTATTTGTGAGATTTCATAACACTTTGAAGCAACTTTTGTTAAAGTTAAACTCATCATTCTATCAATGTGCAGAAGCCAGTACTTTTCCCTTGTTTTGTCTATCTGAAGGCCAAGCTACATGGCACTGTGGCAGCTGCTGATTGGAGGTCTCCATGCCTCCGCTCTGTATAATACACTTGCATTCTGTTGTATCTGTGTTCGTGTGCTTTGTTCGTGCTGTCTCTACCATCGACAATAAAACATGTCTTCTGTCTGAATGAAAGACGCGATCCCAGACTTTGTCATCTTCTTCATATTCCATGTTCAATTAGCTTACTGTACGTCTTACAGGCCAACAACCTATGAGTAGTTTGGATTAGGATCTCGACCATGACTTCACACACTAAAGACATAAACGTTTAAAATGGGAACTAACCTCTCTATACCCCCTCTACTATATGAGCTTTTCAGTTTTGGTGCTATGGCCATGAACCAGTTTCAGCATCAGATTTCTGCAGCTGAAATCTGGAACAGCCAGAAAAGTGAGACAGGTTCTTCTTCTCTGACAATGTTCAGATCCAGGTTAGAGACAGTTCTGCTTCTGCAACAACTGAAGGATTGTATCTGACTATTTATGCTGTGATTATTCAGGATGCCTTGTGTTGATCTTGTTTTGTTGTATGCCTTTTGTTGTGTATGAACTGTGCTATGCAAATAAACCAGAGTCTGCAGGTAAACACAGTGAAGTTCTCTGGAGACAGCGTCGTGTGCAGAGCTGTTGTTCCGCTTGACTTGCAGCAGCTCACATCTCACTCCACACGCCGCCTCCATCACTGCTGCTGCTGCTGATACTGCTGCTGCTGCTACTGCTAAGAGCATCAGATTAGATACAGGACAAACTTATAGGAACAACACTGAAGTCAGACAACACTGGAGGTTGGATGTTTATCTACCATCAGGACAATTAAGACTTTTAATACAATGGAACGGTTTGTACCAATGGCCAAGTCGAGGCCCAGACCTGAATCCAACAGAGAATCTACGCTCACCATATAGGGTAGACTAACTGAGCTTGAGCTGTTTTGCAAAGAAGAATGGGCAACACTTTCTGTCAGATGTGAAAGGCTGATAGAGACAAGCCCCAATGTGTATTTCACACAAAAGTTAGAAGGCCTTGGAGACTTGACCTGCTTTATAGTCTATACTCTGAGCTAGAGGAAGACCTGAGACCTGGGACCAGGACTATGGGATGATACTTCCTGGTTCAGTGTTTTGAATATACTGCAGCTGTTTGGAGCTGGTTTGTAGAGACCAGTGACCAGCTGTTAGTCTTACACCTGAGACAAAAGCAGGATAAGAATCTCAGAGTCTGATTAGAATACTGTATTTTTGATCCTGGCAATGTTTTTAGGTGGTAAAAAGCTGCTGATGTTTCTGATTGTATGTGACTGTTGAAATATGTGTCAGAGTCCAGTATTACTCCCAGATTTCTGACCTCATTTGAAGGTTTTAGGGCGAGAGACTGGAGGAGACTCTTTCTTCAAAACAAACGGCCTCTGTTTGATGTCACATCTCAAAGACAACACAGTTCAGGAGCAGGTCTGTGTGTTTCTGTGATCTGCAGTGAAATGGAGCCAGTCCTCGTGATAAAAATAGTCCCTCTGTCTCCGTCACGCAGAGCTGTGTTATATAAAGCACTGGCATCACTTTGAACTCATGAATTTAACACGAGCTGAGAACGACTTCACACGTTCATATGTGACGCCTCAGTGGCCTGGAGTCTTCTCTCAGTGGCCTGGAGTCTACTCTCAGTGGCCTGGAGTCTACTCTCAGTGGCCTGGAGTCCTAGAGTCTACTCTCAGTGTCCTAGAGTCTACTCTCAGTG